GATGTAAGGGAAATTAATACCAAGGAATGARATGCTGTGTTCCAGATCTTTCCTACTAGGGTAATGCATTTGGCGATGTGCGTTAAGACATCAAACATCTGGGCTGCTTCCCCATTTTATGATCTTTAAGAACAGATTAGGATSTCTCTGGCAGATACTCCAGTTTTTCCATAATGGAATGCTCCATGCTAGGACAACATAGATCGTGACATTATTTAATTAAAGAAAGGCTTCTGTAAAGAAAGGTTTCATAAAATAAATGACACATTTTCAGATTAAACTTTTTCTGAAAATCTTCAAATTATAAATTCTTGTCACAAAGTTTTAGTCTTCAGCAGACTTGGGAGCTTACTGAGAAAATGGAGTCACCCTAGTGCATTGTGAAAGGCTGAGAGGGGATCACACATAAGATGCTGTATTGGAAGTGATGGTTAAATGTTAGGACCTTTTTTTTTTCAGGTAGTGTGTTGCTGTAGGTTGGTATAGATTGCCTAGATAGGCTGTATAGTATATATATCCTTAAAAATACTAAAAGCTTGGATTGCTGTCATGCTAACTAAATGGATCAAAACCATGGCTTCAGCTTTGAAGTTGGCTGTACTTTAAAGTTTGGACCAGATAGCTCACCTCCAGATGGTCCTTACGTCCATCATTAATACATGATCGCTCTTAGTTAAAATTTGTAAGTAACATAGAATCCACATAGATCTAAACTTGAATTTCCTTGCTTTTCCTTGTTAACATGGGGAAGAATGTCCTTTCTATGCAGCTTAAAAGGCATCTAGCCAAAGAAAAGGTTCTGTGTGGAATTTTATTTAAAAACTTATAACAGCAGGGCATTTTTGGATACATGTTTATGATCGCTCTCAGAGTTCAGARGTCTTCTGTTACCTTTTTCGTAGGAGCTCTGGAGAGAATTTGGGAACTTGGGACATTTTCTTTTCTGTAAATGTTACAGGACTTTACACAAGCTGACTTGGAGTGAGACCAACCATGTGATTGGCAGTCAGACATGTGATGGAGACACATTACAAGTTCCTAACATTTAAGTTTGTTTCATATYGATAAAGGCCTTAAGTAGTAAATACTCTCAGTGGATTTGAACAGCTAAGCTTGGATAAAGTCACATTGGATTAAAATGAGCAATTATCTCTTGAGCTTTGTATTACTAAATTTAGTATTGGGCAGTCTACTAATGCTATTGATTATTGGTTTATAGTAATTCTGTAAGAAGCTTTGCTTGGAAGTGGTACTGTGCTACCGACATTTACGTGAATAAAGCTTTGAAGGTCACATAATGTACCTTTTGAACTTCTAAAAACAATATTCAAGTGAAAGGTTGTGTCCCTTTTAAAAATAACACCCAATGCTAGAAACTTGACTCCCAGTCATTKTAGAGTTAAATTCCTCTCCATCACTTCTACTGGTGGAGATTAATATGAATTGCCTTACGTGCAGTCTGTTTTTTTTATTTTATTTAGGCTTGGTTTTTTTAGCCAAGCTGAAAGATATCTAAGTTGTTTCACCCAATTCATTGGGAATGAAGAAAAAAAAAAAACCAGCCATGTTTTTGTTCTGTTTTGCTTTTCCTGGTAAACTGTATTTATAAGTAAATCTTTATCTATCTGTCTGTAAACATTATTACTCTTACCTGTATAATGAAACTTAAAGAAACAGAGAACTACTCAGTGCAGCTGTCTTATTTTTAGAAGGTTTCTCAGTGCTTTGCTGAATTAGAATAAAAGTTAAGTTTGTTCAATTTTTACTATGTACTTGTGTCCCACCTTTGCAGTTGATTATACCTATAACACGTTTTTGGGTAATCATGGCAGTATGCTCAGCAGCAGTTATTCCCGATTTTCTAGGTCGTAATTGAGATGTCAAACCATTCTGGTTTGTGATATTGAATGAAGAGCCCTTTTTCTTAAGGAACAGTCAGGTGCACTCAAGCTGCTGTTTGCAATAGGTAAATTTTTCTTGGTTAGTCCATTTTACTGCCACACCCACTGCTTGCTCTGAAAATGAAAAAAAAATTCACAGGCTCTTTGTCAATATTAGGTTCTTTCTTGACTGTATTCTGATAGGATTACATTGGATTGTGATTCATTTTACTTAATAAACACTGAAAATCATCTTGCTCATCAACATTTCACATAAGTCCCAAAATACCGTTGCAAGTGTAGCAGTCTGAACACTTTGTATATACAGAAGTGGTGTGGGGAAGGTGTTCRTGGTTTACATTTGCCTGCAAGACCATGCCTATGTGAGGAAATAGTCACACAGTATCAGTTCTGGGGCAGTGTGGGCTGAAGGGTAGGACGACCCATGGCTGGATTGTTCTGTGTCTTTGTGAGACTCTCATTTGTTTGAGTAGTGAGAAGGTGCTTCCTCCAGATTTTCCTTCTGGAGTTCAAAAGCAGTATTGAATGTTGTAGGCTGTGGGCTCGCTGTCTGGGTTGAGACCTAACTCGTCGGTGCCTACTTGGTGTGCTTGAGGCAGGTATCAGTCATCTGGACATGATTCTGTGGTTCAGTGCTAGTGACAGCTGAGAGGTCTGCATTTTGGGTGGGAAAGCAATTTGCTACCGACACAGGTTGTTTAAAACCACCTTTTATTTGTTGCTTCTTTCAGCTCAGCTTTCTATAGCTTTTAGCTGTCCCTTTGCAACATACCTGCTCTCCTCCAAACTTTTCTAGAGAAAARAAATTCTCAGTGCAATTATGTAAAAGGAGATAGACTCCTCATGTGCTTGTTCCACCTCTCCCCCGTACAGCAAGATGGTCTTTGACCATGGAAATGGGCACACTATTACAAATGCCAATTTTTGCAGTAGCAAGGTGTATTGTTTCAGATGGAGATCCTTGGAAAAGCTGTGAAGGATTTTTGTCTCCAATTTGTGTAAACAGCAAGAGACAAAATATGGAAGTCCTTTTTCTCAGGGAATAAAATCCTGATGAGTTTCAGATTTCTGCAGGTTTGGTATTTTTTTTWGTGCAGTGATCAAAACATAGGCTTAAAACAGTCTTAGTAACAATATTAAAACAAGAAATTATATAAAATGCTCTATTACTAGACATATGCTAGAGTTCCTCTTAGGAAGAAATACTACCTGCAAAAAATCCAACAGTTTGGCAKGGAAGAGAACTGTTCCAAGTGTATATATAAACGGTTGTTTGATACTTGCTAATTGAATATATAAAATACAACAGAAATCCTAACAGGCATAGTAACAGCATTTGCAGTGAGTGGTGGCTCACTCAGTTGCAGCTTTGAGTGGGATGTGGTGAGTAATGCAGTTATTTTTGAACCTCGTGCTTTTGCTTTCCCTATGCATAAGATTATTGTATCATGATGGCATCAACAGCATGACCATTGTTAACAATGTCCCCATATCATATTATAGACTAAGTGCGTTGATTTATGTTTAGGTTTTACATTGGCATTAATTTCACTGGGAATTGCATTGTGCATAGCAGTTGTGGAGGGCAGAGGTCAGGCTGCTGGGCAGGGGCTGGGTATTGTTGTTGGAAGAAGCTCACAAAAGACAAGTCTCYCTCTATAAATAGAACTGATGAGTGCTTCAAGAAATTAATCTCTTTCCCACTCTTACATGGAAACAAATAGCTTTTAATATGCTTAATTTCAGACTTGGTAATAGTGCCAGTTAGTTGACTCTAATTAAACTAGTGTTGGAATTGTGTCGAGTTGGCGCTTGTTATGTGAAAAGGAATCTTAGACTAAATTAATTAAATGTTGAACTTACTTATGTTGATAATGATTTTTGCTTCTATTTGTAGTCATATGGCACTATGAAGCAGTATTTTTTTGGCTTAGAGATTCTTTTTTTTGGGAAATAAGTTTGACGTCCAACCACTGTTTATTTCTTTAAAGCTCTGTAATCAGCAGGAATTTCCAATATCTTTAATCTAGTATRTGTGTGCTATGCACACATATATGGGCATGTGTGTGTACAGTCACAGCTCCTACAGCTCGCCTGCATAATGTAAATTTGCTGAATTTGCATCTGTCTGAGAGCAGGAAGACCACTTCCTTTTCCTTTGGTTAATCTCAGTCTTCTGTAATAGCTCTTCAACACCATGAAAAAGAGCATTTAGTGTTATAGTTAATTTGTCTTTTCCTGAGATTGTTTGCTTAAATAGGAATTAAACAGACTATTGTATATGCTATCTCCATTACAGGAGACATGGTAGTCATATGTTCGTAACAGTCAGTTKATTGATTAATTTTGCAAAGATGTTGATGCTAGTATTGTCTTAATGTGAAAGGTCAAAAGAAAAACAAGATGTTGAAAGTACTTGTTTTAAAGAACAGCATGTATTAATTTGAGGGCGGGCTCCTAAATTCATTAAAAAGTTCTAGAAATAGGAAAAAAAAAAGTGTAATGTCTCTGTAAGTGATTTGAAGTGTTGACCTACATTTCAATGCACAAGTTCCTCTTATGTTTCTGATGCTAAATTAATGGTGTAATTGAACATCAGTTTCATCAAGATGTGTTATGTGCTACTTGAGAAAATATTGGCAGCTCTTTCAAGAAGAAAAAACTACTTGCAGACTCTAAACAAAGGGGTAATTTCTTAATGAAGTTAATAAGCCAAAGATTATTTTGGCATTCTAACAACTGTCCTGATATGAATCCCTGCAAAAACAAAAAGGAGCATCATGTAATTTCTCTGCCGTGGCCTTGTGTTTATCGAATAGCTTATTTCAGTGTTACAGGTCAAGCTTGTACTTCTGTATTGTTTGTTTCACAACTAGATTTTTAAACTGAATATGACCTAATCTATCAGAGAAATGAGTCTAGCTCTAGTTCCTTGACACTCTGGAAGGACAGAAAGGAAATGGTCATGTTAGTTCGCTAAAAGTAATTTTGTCAAGTGCTTTTGGATTTCTGTCTCTTAAAACCCTTTTCTTTAAATATTAAATTTGGGCACTAGGTAATTTTTTGTTTACKTGTGTCCTCTTAAACTTTCTTAAAAAGGCCACAGAGCTGTGTATATTGGAGTTCAYGTCCCACTTGGAAAGCCAGGCCGTCGACGGCATAGACATCGTGGGCACAGGCACCATAGAAGAAAAAAAGAAAAAGAAAATGATCGAGAGGATGGCCGAGAATCTCCATCATATGGTAAGAAATTTGTTGTGTGTGTTCTTTGTATCTCCTGAAAATAAACTTGTAGTAGTGACTCTGCTTAAATGTTRTTTGTTTTGTGCTATTTCTTTTATTCTCACTGTAATTAATGTCTTTCTGTGTACAATCAGACAAGGATTTTGTGGTTGTGTTTTATCTACGTCAGAAGCTGTTGGACTTGGTCCAGCTGTCTGCATGAATGTTCAGCAGCCTGCACTGAATAGGTTAGACCAGAGCTTTGTAATGCTCTCCTGTAGCATGAAAATCTGTGTTATTTAAAYTAGACACCTTTTTTCAGATTGTGTAGTCGTGTATGCTTCTTCCTCTGATTTTTGAAAGTAAGCATGTAGCTGTGAAAAGCAGCATTTGSCATGGTAATTTGATCAATGATCTTATTTGATTTAAATATTTACTTCAGCCTTCTTGCTGTCTGTTAGTAAAGGAATTGTACTGCCTCCTAAGTTTATGGTTTGGATCACCAACTGCCCCCCCCGCCCTGCCTGTTATCCTCAAGAGATGGCAGTTTTGTCATATTGTTCTCTGAAATGAAATTATTTGGCAGTACTCTWCTACTTGAAGAAAGTTTTTCTTCAAGACCCTAAGTCCGCTTGATTCCTAAACTTCCATGAATGGGCAAATTATAGTGCAATTTTTGAATTTARGTGTGGATACCATGCTGTTCACTATTACCTTTCTATGACTAGCAGAATGTTCWACATGGGTCCAGTACCTGAAACAAAGGAATTTTCAAATGGAAATKCTTTGTCAAATCTYCTTTTACCATTYTCCTAYGGTTCTTGGTTTCAACCATCTTCAAGGCTTCTCCTCCCAAATATAAATTATTTTAATTGACATTWTGTTTGTAGTGTCTTGCTGTACAGTTTTTTAAGAAATAAGTGGTAGTAAGTTGAAAATAGTGATAGAAATTCACTTCTGTATTCTGTATATTGGATACACAGGTTTGGGGTGATTGTGGAGGGTATGTGGGTTTTGAGATGGAAACAGTCTGCTAGAGATCTTAACTGATAATGAATGGTGTTGGCATTCAAGAGCACATTTCAGAATTATGCTACTGGATGGTGATACATACCAGAACAACAATGCAAAAGCAAAATTCAGTTTGGAATTAACTTTGTTAGTAATTCGGTTCTTACATTTAAGTCTAGAATGCCACCTTCCTTCTACAGTAGAAGCATATAGTTTTGTATATGTATTATGTACATGTTCGTATCTAACAGCTGTTTCAGAGGGTGAAACAGAGGGTGCTGTTTCAGTGAACAAAGTAACATTTTTAAAACTTGAGAAAATTAAAAAAAATATTTAAAATTGAGATTTACGTAGATATTCTGTCTCTGACTTTCCTTGAGATAACATTGCCATTAGTAAGTTATTGAGTTATTGAACACTTGTAATACAAAAATTGGCTTGAGCTGAAACAAAATCTTTGTATAAGTATTAAAAGTATCTCTAAAGTAATGCATTTTCTATTTGTGTCTTTTTTAAAGTTTTGCTCTTAACAATTGAAATCCAGTATTTACTGGATTGACAAAGATAGTTTAATTTTCTAGCAAATTATTATTGAGCCTGTTCCTTAGGGATTATATTGTGAGAAGTTAAAATATTTTCTGGACACTGCAGCTGCATAGTTTTCTGTTTTGCTATGCTACTTTATACATAGTGCTCCAACCACGCAATGAAAAAATTTTGTCCTATATAAGCAGTAACAAACCACAGAAAAATCTGCTGCTCTAACAGTGAGTGCCTGGGTACTGGCTGATGGCTGTCTCAAAGAATTGCTCAGCCAACTGATGTGTAATTAAGGCTGTTTGTTTCCATCAGCCTGTTTTGTTTTCACTTTTCCTCCTTTAGTGTCTTGTGTCATGATGATATTACTAATTTCTTCTCAAAATGAAAACAAGGTTTCTAGTGTTTTGGTATATTAATTTTAAATTGTTTTAGYCAGATTTCCTATTGATGCTCATTTTCATATTGCCAATCTTAAGAAGARCCAAAAATAGTTGAGTTTCATAAACATGAACATCCAGATGTTTTGTTTTCAGAAATTTGCAAAATTTTCAGAGAGCCTTCTTTTAAAGAAATGTATATGTTTCTTTTGTTCCTCTTCCATCTTAAAGAGAATGTTGTCCAGCATATTTCTAGCTGAGGACAGGAGATTTTACAGTTATGTAGTGTTTCATGTAATAGAAGTATGAATTCTTCTAATGGTGCAGTTTCTCCTTTTCTTCAAGACACACCATCCCAACGAGTGCAGTTTATCTTGGGTACTGAAGATGATGATGAACACATTCCTCATGATCTCTTCACTGAAATGGATGAACTTTGCTTCAGGGATGGAGAAGAATATGAATGGAGAGAAACTGCTAGGTATGTTTGGAGTAGATTGTTTCAAGGTATTTTTTATAGTCACTATATTTCAAAGAACTGCAAGGCAGGTTCGGGTTAGAATCTTTACTACCTATAGGAGTTGTATACTCAATTCATACTCAGCAAATGAAAGCTTTAGTTCTTTTYGTCCAACTCTGAAAGAATCAATGTGGTTTCTCAAGAGATCCTCAGTCTGTCTGAGGTCGTGTGTTCACTTTCTTAAAATTGATTATACCAAAATTGTGAAAGGTAGGAGTGTTCTGAGTTTCATAAAAATGGGCATTTGTCCATGGAGTGTGATATTGGTGATCTCAAAAATCTCTTTAGTATATCGTTGCCAATATATTAGCATCATCTTTTCTCAAATATAAAGAAAATCGTGTATTAAGTCTTTCTTGTGTAGTATTTGATCAGTTTTTGGCAAATTGCATGCCTGAACATTACTGGATGCCATGATTGTTTTTGACTGGGGTACTTGCTTCCTTCTACATAGGCATTGTGATGAATTCTTCTGCATTCAGTACTTCCAACTACCTCATTGCATGCTATCTTTTGTAAAAGTTCAATTTGCATAATGCCTGTGACTTGCAATCAAGATCAGTTACAGTTTCACATATTAGTATTGCCAGTTCATAAATGTCTGGTTTAGCACTCTTAGCAGACTTGAACATGCTATATGCTATGTTTCAGACRGGTTTCTAATCCTAAAATACTGATGAAGATGCAAGTCAGGTAACAAGKCAGACTGCCAGGTTCATCACCAGAACATGTGAATAGACAGATATTGGTCAAGGCAAAAGAAACAAAATGGGTAAAAGCTAAAACAGTAGAGTGTGGTTATTAAGGCCTGATAGRAATGTTAATCAGTTGGGCTGTCAAGAAAATGAAAGCTGGTATGATTTTCTGGAATTTCCTCTTCTGTATCATGCCTAAGGCTACATGGAAGAGTGGGATTGCCAAAATTTCCTTCCAGGAGGATTATGAACATATGTATGTGAATACCTTTCAGGTGGCTGAAGTTTGAAGAGGATGTTGAAGAYGGTGGTGATCGATGGAGCAAGCCTTATGTAGCAACTCTGTCTCTGCACAGTCTCTTYGAACTGCGGAGCTGCATTCTTAATGGGACGGTCATGTTGGACATGAGAGCAAACACACTTGATGAGATAGCAGGTTGCAGCAAATTTTTTTTTAAATATTTTATTCCTAAATTTTAATCAATAACTTGAGGTGTTTTTGGTGTTGTCTTTATGTCCTTGAAAGTAGTGTGTTGAAGAAACAGGTATGTGCATGCTTGCTTGCACTTTCTTGATCTGGTCATGAGGAATTGGTCCTACAAACTTCACTTACAAAAAGCTACACTGGATGAGTATGTATTTTAGGATGAGGCCCAGAAYTTGCCTTTATGTTCTAATCCCTTAATATGTTCTTTGTCTTTGTTTCTACAGATGAATTGTAAATATCTGCCAGAACATTTTAGGAGTTATTTGTGCACTTTAGTACCATAATTATTAMTCATATTTTGGCTGATGTTAACTTGATGCCATTAGTGCAGTTGATTGTTGCACATCTGGTATTTTTTTCACCTTTATAAGAGGTGAGCAGAAATAAATTTTGTACATGTTGTTTGACCTATTGTGTTGAGTGTCCTCACTAATCACATGGTCATTTTGGATATTATACAGGTAGTTTTGAAAACTTTAATATACATATATATATATATATGTGTGTATCTCATATATACACACATGCACATGTATATAAATTATATATGTCTGCTTGGTCTGAATGCCTTTGAATTAGTTCTACATAATCTTCCTGGTATCTCTTGCTACAGGTACCACACAGTGAAATGCCTTCTCAGGAATCTTACTAGACTTAGGGTCAACCAACGTGTGAGAAGGGCAAGGTGTTTTGACAGCGCTTGAAATGTCTTCTTGTTTTGAAATCCTTGAAATTCACTCAGGAAATTGGTATTCCTATTTTCCTGACTTACTGAACAAGAGTGTTCAATACATTGTTTATAAATGTAATGTTTTGGTTTATAATTTTATTCTTAGTAATTGAATTTAGCAATAACCCTAGTACATAAGAAAAGTAATTGCTTAATTCTGTGTAACCAACACTCTTTAGTAGCAGGTAGTTTAGTTCGAACTAGGATGCCCTAAGAGATTGTATGAATTAGTTTCAAGTTAATTTTAGGTACCATTGTRAAGCATGTGGGTTAGCAGTGCTTGGTATACAAATGTGTTTTGTTTCCATGAGCCAGGAATACACAGTAGGCATTATGRTTTCTTACTCATAACAGGAGGGAGAGGGTGACAGGTTCCTTTGTAACAAGAGGCTGTGTCTTACCAGCGATCTGAGGAAGAAGCTGCACTGTACTGAAAGTCACTTTGCTACATGTTGTTCTGTTAGTAAGGACAGAGCCCTATCCTGAGCCCTAACATTTTTCATTGTGAAAAATTCTATGCAATTTCAGTTTAACAATGCTGTTAAATTCTCTATGCGTTAGTTAAAACTGGCAAAATATATTTAAAAGTTTGTCACGGAGGTTTGTGTTGCTTTGTGYAGGTTGGGGTTTTTTTAAATGAAATTATTTTATTTTTTATTGTTTAAAGAAAGGACCCCTAAGAAACCACAGTAGATATTTTCCCTGATATGTAGGCTTTCTTTCTTGATGTGAGCATACTKCTGAGATGCCCTTTTGAAACTTGGTGTTTCAAAATGAGTAGTTAGTTTTAGATGATATACTTAGATTTTGTTTTATACTTCCTCTTCCAAAGCATGTGAATCACGTGAGGTTTGATACAGATTCTCAGGAACTTAGAGCATCTGAAGATGACAGGAGTTGTGTTATTCACCTCATTCTACAGCAACTTTCGTATAGTTGTGTGTACTTTTAAAAGTAGGGAACATCAGGTTAAGCCTGTCTAAGTCTGTTTTCCATAGAGTTTTTTTTTCTGTACTCACTCCTAGTGTAGGTTTGTTGAATAAAATAAGTACTACTTTTGAATGTGAGTTTCCATTGAAAGTTGAAGTAAAAGACAATACATTGTAAGATACTAAGTAATTTATTTCCTGAAGTGATGCTACTAATAAATATTCTCTCTTGGATCTGCAGGCTGGGCTTTCCTTATTCTCACATTTGCTTGTTTAGTGACATCATTTGAAAATTTCCTTTGGATTCTTGAAGATGATTTTGCTAAAGATTTTTCTTTTAAATAGATTTATTTTTTTTTCTATGCAACCTCAGTGCTTGAGTGTSGTGAGATTAAATAACTGCCTATATAATTTTCTTCTTTGTTCTTTTGTTATTATGTAGATATGGTTTTGGACAGCATGATTGCCTCTGGCCAGCTGGATGAATCCATACGAGAGAATGTGAGAGAGGCTCTTCTGAAGAGGCACCATCATCAGAATGAGAAAAAATTCAGCAGTCGGATTCCTCTGGTTCGGTCTTTCGCAGATATAGGCAAGAAACATTCTGACCCTCACTTGCTTGAACGAAATGGTGAGATAAGTTGTAGCATCCAGTTCATACTAACCTGGTAAACAGTATTCTCACTGGGAGATGAAGGAAAGGTCAGCTGATAATAGCAGATAAGTGTTTCATTCTTGGTGAGCAAAGAACTAACAGTGAGWGTGTGTGTGGTGTGTAGCTGTGGATGATATTTTTAAATTTACTCAAATATTCTATTCCTGCCTGTGTATCAAAGCATGCACTATTATTTTGAAGTATAGTAATAGACCTACATTGGTCCTAATTTTTTTTAGTGTATGCTTAAATAAAATGTGCAATGTTTGAGGAATTTCAGCATCGTGGCRTAATATATGTTTGTCAGATGGATCCTACTTGCTTACAGTCTTTGCAGAAGAGATTTAGTGATCATGTTGTATGAGTTCAGCAGTGCTGATAATTACTCTGTTTTAACCCAGTGTTGTTGCATTCATTTGACAAGAAGAAGGTTGCTAAGCCAGTGGTGAAGATACTACTGTTAGCTCGGACACTGTTTATTTTTGTCTTGATTTGCAGAGAAAGGTCTAACGGGAACAAAAATCCCAAACCCAAGGAATATATCAGCAATGTTCTTAAAAGCTGTATCTTTTTTGAACCAGTTCCTGACTCTAGGCATCCAGTTCCAAAGCCCAAATAGCAATATTTGCTACAGAACAGTTTGCTTGTATTCTTGTGGTTTTTATGGGGTCTCTATTTTTGTCTCTGTTCTTGGTTTTCTTTTGCCTTGCATTAAGTAAGGCACATAGAATTTCAAATGAGGTTTTTTAGTCTGGTGAAAACTCACTACTTATTTCATGAATCAATCCTTGAAGTGAGCTTCCTTTTCTGTCTTGAAAGATGCCTTATTGCTTAGAATATGTTTTACTTGGTTAAGTGCGTCTTAGGAGCTACGTAGGCTGGAGTATTCTCCAGTGAATGCCTGAGTTTGCTGATGGTTTTTGTTAGCCAGTGAATATATGATATATGCTTAAATATTTCCCTGTTAGTTGCAGAATTTTTTTTTCAAGAACGAAAGTGCAGCTAATTTATCTAAGAGTGTTATGTCGTCTGTAACTCCCGACTGATGTTTTGTTCAGCAAACATGAAAATTTCACACACATGGACTTGGTTTTGCCCATCCTCGGAACACTTGTATCCCCAGGAGTAATTCTGTGAATTTTGTGTTTGAGATCTCTTTCTTGTCAGTTACCTTTCATGTATCACTTCCATTTTTCAGGGCATTTTATTCTTAATACCCTTTCCACAAGAGACTATGGGATATATGCTTAAATAAGAAACCAGTCTAATGTGATGAACTCCTTGTCAGCATATACTGATTTACGTTTCTCTTCATAATCCTATGGTAACCCTTTAATAAACTGGTAAATCAAACATGCATATCTGCATAATGCTACTTAGGCTCCTTGAGGGTATGTGTTAGGACATCTCATGTTCATGATTTATCACAGGTATACTGATGAAAGTCTAGTTATTACTGCAGTGACTRATGTGGACAAAATCAACCAAATCTGCTCTGTTGCTCTTGTTTTCTTTACTTTTACTGCTCTGCAGTTTTGATATTTTAATAGTTGAGTTTTCAKGCATTTTTCTTAAATCAGGTTTGTATCTGTAGGATCCACTCTTTTCATTATTTTGGGGGAGGGGAATGCATGTGATCTTTACCTAGGCATGCTTTCTGCATCTTCTGTTTATTAATTATTCTGGGCTGTTCAACTTAGTTGTCTCTGTAGTGCTTGGTATAAATATGAGAGTAAACCTGTCTAGTTTGCTGTTTCCTTGCTTGATGGCATGGTACATGAAACCAGCATGTTTTGGATTTTGTATTATAAGTCATCAGTAATGTTTTTAAGGAAACTGACTGTCCCAGGAACAGTGTTTGTAGCAAATGGGAGAAATGGTATCTCTAAACCTTTCAATGGAAGCACTAATATAAGTGTAAACATTTTCTCTTCTTGCTTAAGGAAGAACTGAAATCCATTACAAACTGCAGTCTGAGGGAACTATCACAAGATTATGTTCTCTTCATGTGAAATTAGTGGGACATGAAAACTAGAGCWAGGAAAATATCAAGGGATTTTGGAGAAATGTTTGATTTTAGGCATATGGAGCTATTGGTAAAGCAAATCATAGCAAGAGGATATGGAGAAGGGACTCAGTATCTCATTTTTGTGTCCTCTTCAAAAATATACRTTAGACTACAGCTGCCTGGGAAAATTCTCAGTAAAAAAAAAAGACTTTTATTGAAGGATAGTTGCATTTAGCACATTTAGGTATGTTTTGTCATGCTCACTTTTTAAAAATTAACAATTCCTTGTATAATGGATAGAGTTAACTGAAGTCATGTAATGTTTTGGTTGCTAATGATTTTTTAGTTTGTTTTTTGGATGGATTAAAAGTAGCTGGTATGCAATTTGGAATAAGAAATTCTAGAAGAAATTGAGATCAATTTCAAGAGATAAATTTTTTTTAAATTAACAAATCTTACTCTAAGATATCTTCTCCCTCAGATCTTTTACATTCTAATTAGTACTCCTCAGTAATTTCTGACTTTTCTAATGTCTGTAATCAGATTTGCTTGTCTTTTATCTCACTTGCATGAGTATGACACTTTGGCCCATAAAGCTTGCAATTTACTATATAAGTTGTTAATGCATATTTGTATCTATGTGGGTTTGTTTTGGTTTGGTTTAATATAATATAATTTATCCCTTTTGTAAGCCTCATGGTGTTCCATTTGTTTTATCTCAGGGGAAGGCCTTTCAGCCTCCCGCCACTCTTTGCGAACAGGTCTCTCTGCCTCAAATCTTTCCCTGAGAGGAGACAACCGTTTGTCAGTTCTTCTCAGTTACCTYCTTCCTTCTTCGAGAGCTGGGACCCCGGCAGCCTCAAGGTGTACAACCCCCGTAACTACCCCTCAAAACACACCACCCTCCAGCCCTACCTGCAGTGTCCCGCCAAGCTCATGGGTCCAGCCAAGTCCACTTCAGGGCAAGGAATTGCTGGTGTCATCTGCCAGTGATGATATTCCTTCAGTAGTAATCCACCCACCTGAGGAGGACTTAGAAGTGCAGGAAAGCCAGGAAAAGAAGACAGAGGAAAATATTGGCAAAACACCAGGCAACTATTGAAATTTAAGCTGTCCATGTGTGATGCTCTCTGCATCTGGATCACTTGCATTGCAATGTTTTTGGCACATAACTTGGGCACAAAGAAATATGAGAACTATTACCTCTGCCTGCATGTTTGTTTCTTATCAGTTGTGACTGTCTTCTTGTTTGGCATTTTTAACTTTTTAGCTTTTAACTAAAGCAAACAAAAAATTCTTTAATTAACATTCATTTGTGTAATTAAAAAGGAATATGTTTTTAAAATCTAATATATAAGAAAATGTCAAAAATGGTGGCCTTTTCCTTTCACTCACCTACAGTCCATAGCAAGTTTTGTTTTGGTTTTGTCAGTGGTTGAGTTAATGTTTTAAAATAGTGTTTGATACCTTGAGATAGATACAGCTGAAAACATGGTCAATTATTAGAGGTGAATATGAGAAGAATTAGGAAGGATATAATTATGAGTGGTATTCAGTTTAGTTGTACAATGAAGTCTTCAAATGGGTTATTTTTTTTTTTTTATTTTGTGTTTTGAAAACCATTTCTGTTAAAACTAGTAGTAGTTAACAGATGAAATTGTCAGGTTCAGTTAGCTGCAGCTGTTTCTGGATGGTTCCCATTAGTGCACAGCTTCAGCATCAGACACTCCATTAGTGTTTTCTTGTGTTTGGTATGCAGAATTGGAGACAGTAGTTAGTCACAGCTCAGCAGTTTATTATTTTGTTATCTGCAAAGCTATTCTTTATATGTAAAAAAGGTGTGTAGGTGTATAGATAAGTTGAACGAAACTGTTAGAACTTGCCATCYTTTCTTGAAAAGCTTTTAGTAAAAGTTTCCTAACTTGTGCATTCTTCATACATACTAGTATAATTACTTTGCTTTTCCAAAATTATCACCTGTTTAGAAACATAACAATTCTTCTTGGCAGATCATCTTTTTAATCGGGGATCATCTTGCTTAGCCTTCAGGCTCTTCCTCCCCTTCCTAGAAATTTGTCTTGCCAAAATCTAGCCTGGAGGTTTGTCTGCTGTAGGCCTGTGTGGTTTGGGAGTGAGTGGGTGATTTCACTCAGTTCTTCCATCAGTTGAGGCTTTTCTTTTTTTCTTCCTCACTTTTTTAATAAATAAAAGCACACTGTTATACACAGCAGTGAAAATACGCTGCCACAGAAGAGGCTGTGGTTATCTGCCTTTTCACACTGGGAGCCAAGTCACTGAAAAGGAAAGACCAAACCATGCCATAGTTCCTTATCTTCAGTTGAAGTATAGAGGCCTCATTGTTAGTTMAATTCAGAAAAGCAAACGAAGATCTTTTTCTTACTTCCTTATGGGAAATTAAGAGAGTTCACCTGATGATAATTCTCTCACAGGTCATCTTCCAAAGGTGCTTAGAAGTAAAATAACAGCTCTAATTGTTTTTTCCAGTTCTCATTTCTTGACAGGCATGACAGCATGATAGACACAAGATCTTTAGAATCCAGAAGGCAAATAAATTAAGCTCAAGTACATGATGCTATTATTATTCACTCATGAAGTTTTCTACTAGAATCTCYTAAGTCTTGTTCAGATTGCTTTTGTTCCTCATGGAGATGTTTCTCATAAAGAAAATATCTGAAAAGGATGATGTCCTAGTTAATCAATAAGTAAAACTCCAGAAAATGATAAACACCAACAATTAAGGAAGATACTTTTGTTTTTTTGGGGTTTTCTCCCCTTTTTAGTTCAAGAAGTCATCTGACCACAGATAGACACATTTTTCTTTAGAAATGCTTTTGAAGACATTCTCAGACTATGACTTCAGGTCTGCAACTGGACCAGTCTCTGTCCTGGGAGACAAGAGTCAGAAGGAAACCCTGACAAGCAAGTCATATTCCTGGTATTAATTAGAAAAAAAGCCCAAACATCTTCCTGGTCCATTCCACAATACTTTATAGTCTGTATCACCTCCCTAGTAGTTCAGAATATTGAATCTGAATACATTTTCCACTTCTCTRTGGAGTTGGGTTTGCCTGCTGTGAGCGTTGGGAACTGTGTTAATTTTCTAATAGGTTGCTTTTTTCTGTTTAACATTCCTCTGTAGCTGGCCTTAYGTTATTCAGACCTTTATTTTTTAGTTTTCATAAGTAGCTGGATGGTTACTGAACTTAATGTGAGTTACTGGAAAAGGAGGGAACAGAGACACTCCTTTAGTCTACCACTTAATTTTAATCAGCCAGKCATCAGTTCATAGTAAGTCAACCAGACAAAGGCTTCTCTTGATGTTTTTCAATTTTGTCATCAGTTGAAGAGCAGTGTTTGTTTTCCCATCTTTGAACTGTTGAATAATGAACTCTGTAGGAAGGGCTAAGAAGTGAGCTGTGTCACAGCCGAAAATGAACAGTGTTAATTCACCAGCATCACTGAGCTTTCATATCTGTGAACAACAGCAAAACAGACTGTTTTAAGGGGTCTTTTGGTCCACTGATAAATATGCTTTTAAAACTGAGAAAAACAGTGTTTACAACAGGTTTCTTCTTACAGTAATTGCTTAGTGAAAACAGAATTCAGAAAGATTGCATATTTGCTCTCTAGTAGTAATTTGAACATTTTTTTCACATTGGAGCTGCATTGGAATTTAGTTTAAAAATTATTTTAATTTTCTCAAATACAAATATGATGAACTTCATATTTAGAAGGTTTGTATTACATATTTTTTGCCTTTATTAATACTATTATTGTGGAATAATAGTGCTTAGGTGTTGAACTCATGTCTTGCTCATCTTTATATGAAGCAGTTGAGAAAAATGTATGTATTCTTCTTGCTTTCTTTTTTCAGTAGATAATGTTGATTGGATTTTTGTGATCACAATACTAAGTATAGTTGGCTAGAAAAAGCATGTGATCATTAGTGAAGGTGTAGTTATAAGTACTTTAACTTGAGTTCATGGGGTTTTATTCCAAGTTACTTGAAGACTCAATCTGCCGTTGTCTTTTGGAGGAGACAAGTGGTAAATCTGCCCAACATCAGGAAGAGTACTGTGTTTTTAAGGATCCCCTCGGTAGCTTGGTAACAATGAGTTTTTCTGTCTTAAAATCTGAAAAGTACTACTAGGTGGTTGTCCTTGAGTTTGCTGGAGAAGAGAGAGATATAAGTTCTTTTATTAATGTGAGATTGGAATAGAAGKGTTTCACTATTAGAGAAGATACATTTTTTTTATTCAGAGTTTCCCTGCAAATACCGTATTGATGGATAAGCATTATGAAATGCAATTCTGTATGGAAATGCTTGCTCAGGTCTGAAAACCTKTGAGCAGTATTGTCTTGTGAGCAGCAGTCTGTCCAGCTGCAAGGACAACAGAAAGGAAAACTATTCACACATAGTTTAGGATCAGACAAATGTTCCTGTGTCAGTGCCAAAACGTGTGACGCTTAACTGTGATTGATTGGAGAAATTTTGAAGGCAAACCTTTGAGAAGAATCAGTATCACTTTAGTACTGAAATAAAAATATTTCTGCTAATATGTAGAATCTTTATTCTCGGTTCTTCTCTTTTATTGTCTYTCCACTTTTTGTTCCAGTGTCTGCTTGCTCTTGCTTACAGTACTTTCCCAAAAAGTGCAAAATAATGCATTATGGCTCATCTTTCATCAGTTAGAAACATTTTTAGTTACCTGTATTGCTACAGAGAAGGGGAAAAAGTGAWAAAAGTTTTAAATTCTAAACTTTTATATTATGCTGCTCTTCTGTAACTATTTAGTATTTATTTATAAAGTTCTGCAAAAACGTCAACTCCTAAGCAGTTAAATACTTTGATCAGCTGATTTCTTAGGTGGTTGATGCTTTGATTCTTATCAATAACACATGAATCTTAGAGCAGAAGAGTAAAATGTGTTTTTTGGTTTTTTTTTGTGGGTTTGTTTTGTGTGTGTGTATGTGTGTGTGTGTTAGCTCATTACTTCTACATGTTAGGATTTATGAAGGTAATGAAAGCCTATTAACTTAATTTGATTTTTGCTTCAGGAAAAACTATGCACACCAGCTATATCCCTTATAAACTGTAGGAATGAAAATTAGTGGTCAAGGCTTGGACATGCATTTTTTTTGTTGATACGATGACTTTTTGGAAGTGTTTTTTGGAAACAAATATGGGGATGAAATATAGTGAATTCAGTTGTCACTTGAAATGTTAAAAATGTCAAAAGTGGGAAATTATAAACATGAGGGTATTCAAGTAGTTATGTGGCAGTGGTTATGATAGAATAGTAGCTCAAAGGTAGCCAGAGAGAGCTTCATTTATATCTTGACTAGAGAGGTGCTTGACCTAAGTACAAATTTTCTCCGTGTAATACAATATTTAGGCTATAGTCCTTATCTAGATGTGTTTTTGAAAGCATGTGAAAGCATGTTCACTCACCACAGCTGAAAGCTCTAGYGTAGACAAGCAGGAAGGCCGAATGCACTACTAGTGCATGTTAAACTGAGCAAAAGGTAATTCAAAAGGTGGGATTTGGGCTTGGTTATGCATGCCTAGACCAGCTTTTAAATGTTAATTGGTTAGGGAGAACCCTGATGCCACAAGGAATTCAGTGTGTGARCACTTGGGTTACTTGCCTTTTGCACCCTTTACTGAACCTGCAATTCAGTGCTGCTGGCAGTGTAGCGAGATACATAACATGGTTTTGTTTTGGTGCAGGTGTTAGAGGGAAGCTGTATGTTGAACTTGAAAAACTTAATTGTGTGTGCCTTCAGCTTAGGTGTGTGTTCCATACAGTAGCGTGGTTGGATGAATAGTGGGAGCTTTKGTCTGTTGATTGAAACCTAGCTGTGGATCCTTCATGTCATGCTCTACTTACTTGTACAGTTTAGTTAACTTTGTTGGCTACATTCCTTGTAGTTGTCATCTGAGGCTTGCTGACACTCTTTACAATTGCAATAGCTKCTACACAGCAGACTAGAGGTGTTTGCATTTGGTGACCAAGGACTTCTTAGTATGGTGAAGATGCTTTATGCTARCTACTGAATCAGTTATGATTAAAATGTCAGCAGTTATTTTTTCTGCAATTAAAATAGCTCATGTTTTCTGGTGACTGTTCTGCAAATGGCCATCATTTGGGCAATACTTAATTTTAAAAATTATGTCATTATTTTGACAACACAGTGACTTGTCAATGTTGCATTTATGATACTAATGTAGGGCACTTACTGAATAACGTGCACTTTTGCTTTAAGCAAGCTTCCACGTTGAGTTTTGGTAGTGTTGCACACTCAGTTCACTTCCTGCACCATTTTAAACTTGCCTTCTTTGTTTTAATTTAGGGCTTTTGGCATCTCCACAGTCAGCACCTGGAARTTTAGACACTGGGAAAAGTGGAGATGTTAAAGGTACTGGGACAGGAGGAAGCAGAGAAAACAGCACTGTTGATTTTAGTAAGGTAGGTAACATGAAATACCTTWGTGTTTAGAATCAATTAACTATGTAACAAAAACTGCTGGTTGTAACTTCCCCATTAGTTACAACTGAGTTATCAGTGTACACAAGAAGTGGGTAACGAGAGATAACTTGTGTCACAGTATGACCTAGGCTAAATGTGTCACATGTTTTGAAATTCCTTCCAGTGGGAACTGTTTCATGATCTTCTCAGTATTTTGGTAACGTTAGAGTACAGCTGCTGTACTTTCTCATGCAGATGGAGATATTTTCACATCTGCTATTAAGACTCTTATGAAAACAGTTTTGTAGATTTGTTGTAACTTTTTTTTCTAGGACTTCTTATTGGTTCTTTTTTTTTCTTTTTCTTTTTTTGTGAAGATGAGTTTTAAGGAGGATTTGCGTTATATGTGTTACGAATTTTCTCAACAAAAGTTGTACATCTTAATGATTAGGAACATATAATACCACTTTCTTAAAGAAACCTTGTAAAAAACCTACTGTAAATCTCTTATATGTCTTTCATAATTTAAATTTGCTGGGCAAATTCCATTGTGGCTGTCACTATAAAGTTCAGTCAGAAGTGTCGTCTGTACTACGAAACACTGTAAGAAAATTGGTTTGCCAAGTTAAATAATTYTGTTTATGGAAAGCTAACTTACACTGTAGTTCTGATCTAATCATGGCAGGTGCCATATACTCCTGCTCCTCTGTCACRGTTTTTATATTTTTGCTTGGCCTGTCCTTGTGTACACCTGCCTTGTCTCCTGTTGGACAGGAGTCAGCCTCCTGGCACTGTAGTTGTGGCACACTTGGTGTGGGACTCAAGAGGCCATCTGTAAGTTTCCTAGCTAGCAATGTCACTGGTGCTTGTGTGTGTGTGTATGTGAACACAGAGTTCATGTGCTGTACCATTTTCTAATGCACTTCTGTAATTACATACAAAAATGGAGATGAAGATTTTCAGCTGTCTTATTTTTATGGATGAAAAGATAAAAATGCAAATTATTTTCCAAAATTATGACATATTTGAAATACACAGCTGTGGAATAACTCACTGCATTCTAGAAACCATGTGTAATTACATGAACTCTCCTTACTTAATTGTGCATAGATTTTGTTAATTTATGTCCTATCACGGAATGTTTGTCATTATAATATTAGAAAGGTGATTTGAAATCTTTAGAATATCCTAGGTGTTAGTAAATCTAACTTATAGAAAATAATTTATTATTACTTGGCTGGCTGGCTGRCATTTTCTAAATGTGTTTGTCTTTTCTGTATTGTGGGGTATTTAATTTGCTTTTTAATTTTTCTTTGTAGCATAAATGTCTAGTAAATTCTGATAAACATAATTATGTTATGGAATTTCTRCTAAGAAATGTAAGGGAATAAACACTTGTTTCATCTTTATATGAATAGGTTGATATGAACTTCATGAGGAAAATTCCTTCAGGAGCAGAAGCATCAAATGTGTTAGTGGGAGAAGTAGATTTTTTAGAAAGACCTATTATTGCTTTTGTGAGGCTCTCCCCTGCTGTGCTTCTCTCGGGTCTCACAGAGGTTCCGGTTCCTACACGGTAAATAAATGCCTGGAAAGTCTGGCTTTACTTATGCAATAAAATGATAATACTTAAGATCTCAAATATATATACTGTATTAAGCTAAAAAATGTAGAGTTCTGTTTAACTTTATGCCATTAATTTGCTGCAAAATTTGAAGGAAAGAGATCTGCCATAAAATTTTCTGAATGCATTATATATCTATGTCTCTATACACACATACATATACATATATACAYAGGTATGTACAGKTAAGATGCTGTCTTAAGCAAGTGCAGGACTTCAAACTGATWACTGAGTTGGAGTAAAAGCAATGAATCTTCCAACTTTGTGTTGCCATTTTAAGGATGGGCATGAAGATAGTTACAGTTCCCTTCAGCTTGTCGGAGGGGAAGAGCACTTCAAATCTGAAGGTCTGTCTAATCTGTAGCTCTGCTCTTTCTGTTAAAATACACAGCATTTGAATGCCTTAGGTGGTGCAAAACCATTTTTTTATTGTATGCCCAAAACTACATGATTGATATTGGAGTAATCAATTGGCAGCTAATACACAGGAGCAGTTTTCAATCTGCAATATGCTGTCCRACCTGGTGCAATCACCCTTGCTCCTCCAACCCATGGGTCTCGCCAATATACTCCGGGTATATTTACTACAGATGTTCAAAATACCAAAAGACAGGTCCCATGATAAAGGTAGAAGATCATTTCATCAGTCATGAYGCATGGCACTTCATTTTCTGTGCACATTGATGTATCAGGCTGTTCTGTGGTGTTTGRCATTTGTACATTTCTGTTTTTTGGTGGGTTTTTAATGTTTTGAAATGATCAAAGTGTTTGTTTATCTTTGTGATTTTCAACTTATGCACTCTTTTGAAAGGCAAAAGTACATCTATGTGAGAATTTTCACAGTCGTTGACATGAGTGCTCATWATATTTATTGGGAAATTCCAAAATTTCTGTATACAGATTACTGTAGCTAAAATTTTTCTATCCTAAGTTTTTCTGAATGGTGTACACTTAGAGATCTGGAATAACATACTTGGATTCTGAAGATGCACTCTCAGTTTCAGGGTAGTAAACTTGCAAAGGAGAATTGAGCTTTTTGTAGTATGRGTTGAARGAAGGCGCTASATTTTTCAGATGTATTGTGCTTGGRAGCRTCATTTTCATGGAATRTAGGAAGAAGGTTGTGAAWCAAATTTCTGAGGTTCACTCTTTGGTTTGTATCCTTTTGAGTTTATAAAATGGTACTGCTTTTGGTGRGTTTTATGTTAGGCACTGTTACTGTGCTAGGAAATGGAGACTGCTCACATAGGCTGTTACCCAAGCTCCAACTTGGATCAGCTTCCCAGAATGTAACTTACCTTCTTAGGTGTTCAAGTATCCAAGTTCCCTTCCTTTCCACTGACACAAAACCAAGATGTGACAATATGAGTATGCTCAGTGTGACATCCTTTGTGTGGCATACCCAGTCACAACAGGCTTAAGAGGGGGTTTAACTCCCATCAAAAGGTGATCATCAAGGAGCCTAGGACAGGTTGTAAAGCTCCTGGGCTGCCACTTAGGGGGTCTTTGCTACTGGGAATGTCAGAAAGGCTTAGAATCCAGAGGAAATATTCATTGAGCTTTAATCTCTGGATTTCTAGTATTTATCAGGCATTATATGAAGTTGAAAAATTAGGCTTAATTAAGAAGACATCTGAGTAATTTTGGTTCAGAATTTGAGTTCCTTCTAGTAATGATTTTAAGCTCAGTCTTTTCACAGTGTTGCAGCACTGTGGTGATCTGAAGTGGTGAGAATAGTGTTTTTATTTCACCACTGAATTTTCTTTAGACATTAATTTGAAAGACCCTCTCTGAGTATACTCAAATGAGTCAGCCATACTCATCTCTATTACTTTCTCCACAGGTTTTTGTTTTTGTTGCTGGGACCAGCAGGAAAAGCTCCWCAGTACCATGAAATTGGACGATCAATAGCAACACTTATGACAGATGATGTGAGTGATCTATTTTAAATGCTTGTAGCTAAAGTCTACAATTTAGCAACTGATCTCAGTAAAAGATTTGGAGTAGTAAGTTAAAGAAAAAACCCACAAACTGGTTAAATGAAGAACTGCAAACTTAATTTTTTGTGTTAGTGAAGTAGATAACAGTAAATTAACTTTCCTCCTTGTCTGTCTTGAAGAAATCCTAAATGTATTTCTGAAAAAAATTTTGSCTTTGGTGTATAGATTTCATTTTTGTGTTAAATTGGTTAAGAGAACTATAAACTAGAACTGCATTTGATATGAGTCAGTGTTTGTCAAAAAGGACAGAACAGCTGCATGAGTGTTCAGGACACAGAGTTTTAAAAATGCCTGCAGTTGAGTCATCATAGATTTTTTTTTTTTATCTAAGCAAGGTCAAATAAATAAAATTAGAATTTTAATAGCCTTTTGAAGTTATATTCTTAGAGCTCTATTGGTTTTAAAGACCACAGTGGGGAACCAGGACTTACTAAGCATTGCCATCTTACTGAGCAAAATTAGGGTATTTTGATTTTGACTTCACATTGAGCGCCACCTATTGAATTGCTTATAATTTCTTGGGTTATGTAGCACAAAGGCAAGTTCTTTTTACTCTAGAACACTCTGAAGTCTGGGAATATAAACTAGAAATTAGTAATTTTGCATTTGATAACCAGCCTCTGAGTACAGTTTTTGTTCAATGTGAGAACGGAATAATATACGCTTTAGTTGCAGCTTCTGGTTTTCTTTCAGTTCAGGTAGGCTGATATGATTTGTAGGAATACTCTAGATCACTGAAATAGAAAAAAACATAAATTATTCAATAGTGTAAAAAGACCTAAGTAGACTTCAAAGATCTAATTTAAGATTAGAAGCTGTAATGGTCAGATYTAATGGTATTTGGTGAAAAACAGTTCAGGTTTCAAATGTGCAGAAACAATTTAGGACATCCTTCTGCAAGCAGTTTTTTATAGCAAAATAGCATGTTTTTCTCTCTTTGTGTATAAAATGCATCTTGAAGTTTGTATTGTAGTAGTCTGCAAAAGAGTAAAATGAGGTTCTTTTAGTAGGATCATTTTCATGTGCTTTYTAAGTAGTCTTCTAAGCTTAATTAAGCTAGATGTACACAAATGAATTCTTATTCTTAATAAAAACTAGTGTATTAAATTGAARCTATTTGAAGTATTTTTTTGTCATGATTTAGCACAGCCTAGTGGTACAGTGGCTGTAGGGCAGAATTATTCAGACAATAGCACATTAACTTGATGTCCTGAATATTGAGGATTAACTTTTAATTTAATTTTAGAAATGAACTAAACATATGTTTTGAGTTTGAAGATAAAACTTCCGTATTTTATGGTCCATAGGAATATGCATAGCAGTAACTTTTAATTTAAAAGTATGTAACTAAAGTAAAAGCCTAACTTTTGAGGACTTACAAAATATTTTCCATAGTTTTTAAAAATAATCAAGTGTAATCATGATACAATGATAATCAGTTCCTCTTTCAGAAAAATAAAAATGAATGTTGAGTACTTTCTTCTTGTAGGTGTTCCATGATGTTGAATGTTGAGTACTTTCTTCTTGTAGGTGTTCCATGATGTTGCCTATAAAGCAAAAGACCGAAATGATTTGTTGTCAGGAATTGATGAGTTTTTAGACCAAGTGACAGTCCTGCCTCCAGGGGAGTGGGATCCATCTATACGAATTGAGCCACCAAAAAGCGTTCCTTCCCAGGTAAARTGGGGAAAAAAAGGTCCAGTCTAACTTGTAATGGSWGGGCTTAAACTGAACATAGGATTCRAGCTGCTGAGTACAAAAGGAAAATCACTGCCCTGRYCCTGCTGGCCACACTCCCCTTGACACGCACCAAGATCTCATTGGCCTTTCTGGCCACTTGGGCACACTGCTGGCTCCTAWCCAGGTGGTGTAAAATATCAGGAATGTCCCCACATCCATTGTGCAAGAAAAAGTGGATTGTCCRTTTTAAGTTAGAAAAAAATTTATAAAAAAGAAAAGAAGAAGAGGGGAAATGGTGTTAATCGTTTTTCTGCTATGCTGTTATTTACTATATWTCCTATTGTAATACTGAAATGAGTTTGTGTGACAACTGGGAGAATTGGTGAGAAATTGAGTTCATGTTACAAATTATACTAGCAGTCTAATCAAGCAATGATAAGCAAAAATATTTTAATTCTTCTAAGAATTTCTGTTTGCATGCAGCATTGATTGCAATGCTTTAATGTATTTTGTCTAGTATATAYTGTTCACAGAATGTTTACGAAATAGATAAAAAATGATTATATTGCTCAGTTGTGATGATACAGTCTTAGAATGAGAGCTAAGGAAGGTGGGTCCTTAGAGAGACTTTGTTCCCCTTTTCTCTCCTTACAACTTAAAGGAATTTAGGCCTTCAGAATCCAAAGCAGGGGAGATCCCAGTGCTCTTGGTTCAGAAGGCTGATACTGGTGCTGAGTCCAGTGGAGGTTTGCAGAGTGGGTGGAATAACAGGGGGCAACAGCAGTGCAGTTTATTCATGAATAGCCTGAGGTTACCATGTAACTTGTTTCCAAAATAAGCAGGCATCAGGGTWTTTTGGAAGGCAGGCTCAGTTGAAAAATTTATGAGGAGCTGGTAAGCAGCTTGCTCAGCAGGGGAATGACTTCTCATTTATATTTCAACTAAACACTGTGTGTACCATAAAAAGAGGTCAGTTTCTGCTACATGTTTAACAATTTCTGCTCTGGAAATGGTTGAARGAGAAAAGTATCTAAAGGTTTCTGTCTCATGGTTCAGCCTCTACCGTGTGTTGAAAATCTAGGCTTTGTTTCATTGTGTTTCAGGAATCTATTTCTTGTATTTTCTTGATACAGGGAAGATTAATACTATTGTTCAAGATAATAGTAAGGTCTTATGGGTGGTGATGTACTGTTCTACTCATCTGTACTAAATAAAAGATTAGTTTGGAAAAYGGAGGACTGCTGATGAGCTGGGAATATGAAAAAGGGTGTAGAAGGTGTAGAGTTTCTGCACGGTGTCTTTTACTATACTTTTTCGTGTAAAGGCAGTCTGAAACTATTTTTTTTTTCCTGTCTCTTCTGTAGGAGAAAAGGAAGGCACCTAAATTTCCAAATGGATCTACTCCTACAGGAGAGGGTCTTAAAGAAGAAGGCCATCATGCTGGACCTGAACTTCAGAGAACTGGAAGGTGTGTTCAGTTCCTTAAATGCTAGCTACCATAAAGAAATAAAAGTGATAAATCTTCATCTTAATGATTGGCATTTAAACATTAAAAAATTACGGTGTAAGTGTCAGAGCACATCCTTTGTCCTTTTCAAGTGTTGGATTCTTGCCTRTAAGTGCCAATCTGCTTAAAATATTTTCAAGCCTGTGGCAATGTTTCTCAACACATTTGCGAAGGATTTCACATAAGATGCTGCCTAATTTAACTAACTGACTTWTAAGAGCTGGATTTTAAATTTTAATCTTCAGGAGCATGCAATTATCATAATTACAACAGAAATATGCAGTTTTCAGTATTGGGCTAGGTACTTAAAAATCCCATTAATACAAATCTGTTTTATTAAATGTATATGAAATGGAACAATAAGAAAAARGAAGTGGCAAAAAGCAGTTTGGTATTGGTTAGCTTTGGGTTTTGGTCAGGTTTCTTGTAGRGATAAAATAAAATGGAAGGAACTTCTTTCAGTTATTGTTGTTGTCTGTTAATTGCAAAATATTTGTCAAAGAAGTCTCCAACATTGGAAATAGTTGGTTATGATTATAATATCTGAGAGTAGAGAATAAATMAAGAATTCTGATTTATTCCAAATTCTGGAATAAATGTACAGTATTGTTACCTCCAGAATAATAAACTTCCAATTCAAATGCATATTTTTCATACATTTGTGAGAAAGACTTTACATCATTTGTGTTGATTTTTACCATTGTGGTTTTGTTATAATTACATTTTACCGTTTCTGTAGACAGTATGTGGAGCTGAGTTCATTTCTGCTCACAGAATTATCTACAGATTTTTCTTAGGAATGTTTGGGATTTTTTTAATAATTAAAAAACAAGACAACTTTTTGTAAGTGCAAATTAATATATAGTATTTTGGAGTCTTTAAGATTTTTTAAAATTGCTTTTTAAATTATTGGTAATAACTCACCTAGTTGAACTARCGTGCATATGTTTGGTTTTATRCTTACATTTATAGAATATCTGTGTRCTCCAGATAAGAACMCTGTTAAGAATGATAGACATTCATTTATTTATGGAAATAATAATATGTGTGTAGAGAATTCAAATAAAAAAGTGACAGCTAAATGTTGGAGTAGCAATATTGAAATGTGTCAGTGCAGTGATCTTGGTTAAGGTTTAGCATATTTCTTCTGTTCCTTGTCTTAAACATCATAAAATGGATTTGACTTGAAACACCGTTTACGTAAAATTGTTTGCAAAGTTTTTTCTTTCAGTATCTAGCCCATCTATTAAAAAAAAAAACAAAACCTAGTCAGCTTTTAAGAATGTGGATAACCTGGTTGATTRTATTTGGAATATGCTGAATTGGAATAGATAAGACTCTCATTAACATTTTTAATTGTTATGCTTTAATCTGGATTATGAAATAGCTAATTTGTGCCGGCWATAGGCACTGGCAGTCATGTGTAGCCCATAGTTTTAAACTAGCTAGAATCCTTTAGTGTACAGTTTGACGAGTTTCATCTCACCTATTTAGGCTTTTTGGTGGTTTGATACTTGACATCAAAAGGAAAGCACCTTTTTTCTTGAGTGACTTCAAGGATGCATTAAGCCTGCAGTGCCTGGCCTCGATTCTTTTCCTATACTGTGCCTGTATGTCTCCTGTAATCACTTTTGGAGGGCTCCTGGGAGAAGCTACACAAGGCAGAATAGTGAGTACAAAGAATGGTAGCGGCCAGGCTTTTAGACCTTCAGAGGCAAGTCACTGTGTGCATTTGTCTCATTTATTTATACTTGTATTTGAAGAATTTACCTGCAGCAATTGATTAGCCTGCCCCAAAGCAGATCTTCCCCAAAAGGTAATTGCTGTGGAAAATGTGGGGGAACCCATGTGAACAGGAGAAGATGCACAGGGGTGGTAAAAGATGTTTATCTTGCCTTATTGGATGAATGGCTTCATGAATTGAGAAAAGGCTTRCATTGCCTTCTTTTTGGCTGCTAAACAGTAATGAATAGCAGTAAAGGTGCACCATCCCACTAGGCCTACTTTAGGCAAAGTCAGAGGCTCAAGGTGGATAGCCAAGACGTGTACTGGCCTTGAGTAGTAGGCCTGTGAGGATGATACTGCCTGCAGTGTGTGGCCAGCAGTCCATTTACGAAACGGACAGGATATGTTTATGCTTGCACTAATGGTATGTTGCTCACAATRAACATARAATGTCTGAGGTTTATGAGCAGAAAATACTCTTCAGTGTAAATGACTGAAATGTAAAACATACACRTGCAAAATTCTGGTAGGGTTATGTWGGGCAGTAGGTAACACCAGTATCTTTTTACCAAAATATCATTGCTCTTTCATTTTTGAAGCAGAAAAAATGACTTAATATCAGCAATGTTAGTTACTTAGTGTCAATTGGCTTATGAGTAAACTAGTTTGAAGTGTATTTTCTGTTTTTAAATCTACAACAAAGAAGCAAGGCTTTGTCATTTTGTGGGAGGGAAGGATGTATTCAGGCATGTCCCTTACAAATTTTAAKATTCTGTTGAAGCTCATAATGTTACAAAATTCTTTTGATGCTTAAATGAAGTTTTTAAGCTTGTACTATATTAAAATATAGTTAACTGTTTTATCTCTTTCAAATRTTACTATTGATTCAGATATTTGTTYATTGATGTATCTCTTCAAGCTGATAGAAAATAAGGAAATAATTTATGTCTTTTCTGYGTGCTGATTTTGACWCTCTAAGATTACTAAAATGTCAGTGTAAATTTTGAATGTACAACATGTATAATAATGAAAGTACTCTCCTTTTAAAGCTTGATTCTTAAACACCTTCTTTCTTTTAGCTATCTGGAATTGTTTGCGGGTTTGTTCCTGCCTTCAGATACTTGGTGTGCATCATTGAATAAAACATTTAGTTACTGCACACACATGTTCAAGCACAGTAGCTGACATTGTAAGGTACACAGTTTGTCTTTGAAACCTTTCCTCGCATTCTCAGAGGCCATCACCTCCACAGTGCTCCTGTCCCTGCCACCCTGACTGAGAACCCCAAGGTTAATGCATTGACTAGCCAAAAACACTAATTCAAAGGTAATAGARCAAGAGACTGGGATTATAATTTTTTTCCTAATTTTATGAACAAAGGACTCATTTTCATTTTTAATAGCCYCAGTTCAGCAAATCATTTTGACCATTTTCAGATGCTTTCCTGAATTGGTGCTCAAGTTTGCATAAGTACTGTTTTCTTAGGCTTGCATAATTTCAAAATAGCAAATGCTTAAAAGTTCCTCCAGGAACCCTGTAATTCCATYGCAAGAATCTGTAATCCATGACTTCTCAGTGGTAGATGCAGTAATTMACTATTTTCAAATAAATTTAGTATCATTTTAGTAATTAAAATTCCAACCTCTCTCTTCTGAGGTGCAYTGTAACTGGGTTTTTTGGCAGAAAATGTTATAGTAAAACATTTAATTCAAGAACTAAAGTAGATACCTTAATTCTTGAAAAGAAATGCATTACCAGGTGGGACATTGGTTTTCTGCTCATCTATTTTTGGTGTCATGTATACATAAACCAATATTGTTCAGTAATTTCCCCTGAACCTCTGCCTGTCAGTTTGGTTTTATTTTTCTTTTGTAATGTTTGGTTGATTTAGGCAGTATCACGTTTTGGTACAGGTATATTGCAATATATATATATCTGTTTTCATTACAGAGACTGATAATTCTTTCTGTTGAGTAACAACATTTTACACAACAGTTTTTTTTATGTATAATTTTTTTTTTAAATTTGTATAATTGTTGGTATGCTTTTCCTCCATAGCTAGCAGGACTAGTAACTTGTTCTCATGGTTTTGGATGGCTTTATGTTTCTCAGGAGTGAAGTTTTCAAAATCGTGTCCATGGTATTGTTACTGCAAAACTGTGTTAAGTTATTCTTGTCTCAAACATGGGTATTAATTGCAATGTGTTTGCATCTTGTCTTGTTTCTAAGTTAATGCATCTTAAAGTTGTATTTATGCAGATATGATGCTGAATGCCAACCTGAAAGGCGACATAGTTACAGCAGTTTCTTTTCCCCCAAACAGAGTGCAATAGAGTCTCTCTTTGGAGCCTCATTAACTGGGATTGCCTATTCTCTCTTTGCTGGGCAACCTCTTACTATCTTGGGAAGCACCGGACCAGTTCTAGTGTTTGAGAAAATACTATTTAAATTTTGCAGGTAAGCGATGTTTATATTGGCTTGGTGCACTTTTCAACTTTCTAGTGTGTTGCAATAGCYGTAATTGAAAGCAGATGTGCAGTAAATGTATATGTCCATGAAGGTAAAAACAGTGATGAGAGACTGAGAAATTGATACGGTTTGGTAAAGCTGTGAGGCATTGGCAAACCTGAATGAGAAAATCAGTGATAAGAAGTGGCAAGGACTTAAGTAAAGYTATATTCTGACTGTGTGAAGATGTTGGCTTTGCTTCTGCAGGGGTAAGCAGAGATCARTCTACCCTCTATGAGAAACTATCTGGGTAGTTCTGGAGAAATCCATCCCCAGGATGCTTCCCAAGCTAGGTAGTTGCACGGTTAATCCTAGAAACACCTTGCAGTRTTGCTTTGCTTTCRTGGGAGATGAGACAAAAAAAAAGTTTCTGCTTCCTTCAGAGCAAACACCAAACATGAGAATAGCGATAGATGACTATAAAGCTTGGCCTCAGTGTCTTTTCAAATATAAAATAGTACTGGTGGGTTTTGACTCAGTTAATGKTTTTTGTTTCTTTCTTCACACAGGGATTACGGTCTTTCCTACCTCTCTCTGCGAACTAGCATTGGTCTGTGGACTTCATTTCTATGCATTGTGCTTGTAGCCACAGATGCCAGCAGCCTCGTGTGCTACATCACTCGATTTACTGAGGAAGCTTTTGCAGCGCTTATATGCATCATATTTATTTATGAGGCATTGGAAAAGCTTTTTCATTTGGGAGAAGTGTATGCCTTCAATATGCACAATGATTTGGATAAACTGACTTCATATTCGTACGTACCAAGTTGCTATCTGTTAGTGAAATAAATAGGAAAATATAATAGGGGCATATTGTTTACTAAATGGCAGTGGGTGCAACTTCCAGGAAGGGTAGGAGGAGTGCTAGGGTTGGTATGGGCATGAGAAACCTCAGAAAAATTCTATTCAGGATGCTGTGGAATTGAATTTTCTGTGTTAGCCATGGGTGGCTGGGAGGGATAAGGGGCTGTGACAAAGCATGCTTTAACTGCAGCTTTACTAAAGGTCAGAATAGGAATTGCTACTTCTAGGAAGTATAGTTTCTCATGAGATAGGATGAGTTGGGTTACCAGCTCACACCTGCCTGATGGATATCCAGCTCACYGTTGCTCAGAGAAACTGCTTGTTTTCAGTAGTTTAAATGAAATCATTTAAATGCTGGTGTTCCCCTCCTGTTGGAGATGGGCCTCTTCCAGCTTCACTTGTACCTCTGTGGTCACACCCTTCTGCGGGTGAAGGACCCCCAGCRAGGTCATGACCATTCACCTGAGGTGAGGGTTCCTGCTTGTTGCACTGGGCAGTCATTCCCTAGCTGGAGAGCAGAATACTTCCTGTCCTCCTGGACAGCTGCTCTGCCTGGCCACGACAGAGGTGAYCTTGCACACAGGATGACCTCTAGCAGTGCCAAACCAAGTTTGGACTACTGTGTTTCTCTTCCCAAGATTTCTGCTCACTTTTGCAATCATTCAGTTCTTCTTAAGTACTTCGCTTGAGGGGGAAAGGGCAAAACGCCCTGTCAGACTGCTTCTTGTATTTTGTTCACACTTGGTATTTACTCTCCCTTTCCTGTCTTAACAGCTGTTAAAACCAGGCCACGTTTTCAGGAGTGGGCTGTGGGAGTACCCTCACTTCCTTATATACCCCTTTCTGCTGGCTGCTCATCCTTCTCTTTCAGTGGCTCTGGGTCCTCACTGGACTCCTGTGTGAGCATATTAAATTCACTGATCTGGCAGAAACTGTACTGTAGGTCTTGTGCCACTTGCTACCTGATTATGTTTTACCACAGGCAGGCCAAGAGGGTGGAGAGGGTAAGGTGGGATTTGAATTTGGTTTAGCTCTATGGTTTTTGGGACATGCCATGGTGTTCAGCTTTGGTTTGTCCTATATTTTTTTCTRTCACAAAGCTGTGAGAGATCCAGCTGTTCACAGTTGCTCTCTTTCTCCTTTTGCATTCTTCTTCTCCCCACTCCATACTCTTCAGTGGAAAAAGGGTGCAGAACAGRCCTGTTCAGTTAATTGAGCTACAAGACAATCTCAAATACTCTTATATTTTCTCTGAAAGTGTTTTTTTTTTTTTTTCTGGATTTCTACTTATCTACTTGGTGGCATTCTTTATCCTAATTGTCTTTGTTGATAAATTTGTTTTGTCAGTCTTCCTTCAGCATGCTTGTTGATGTTGTTGCCTTGACCAACAATTAATGATACTTTCTGTCTCTTCACGCTTATTGTTGCAATTCCTTTCTCTTCAGATGATTCTGTGTTGGCAGCTACTTGGGAGGAATTACTGCTTTCCACTCCTTGACCACTTCCTTTTGCTGTTACTTTAGAATTTAGCGAACAAAGTAAAATTTGTTTACTTTGTATTATTTAAGTTCTCCAAACATTGTGCTCTGCAAATCTAGGTTCATTCTGGCTGTGCACATTTAGCATTTTTTCCTTCTTTACCTTGACCATTAGGATGCAGATTTATCCTTCCATGGTTCATTGGGGTTTTTATCAATGTCTTTAGTGAATCTCATAGTAAAAAGAGACTTATTTGTTGCTTATTATCTCTTTCTCCTCTTCTACATGAATGTTTATGTGTTCAGCTTACAATTTAGTGTACTTGAATTGCTTTATTTGAAAACATCCCATATGCAGTCTGTTTCATTTTGGGGTTTTTTTATCTGATCTGTGCTTCTGTCAACCTGTCTGACATAAAGGATGCTGCAGTCCAAGTTTKCAAAGTGCTACAGTAGGGAGGGGCATTTTTACTCATACAAAAATATTACTAATTATGTATACAGTTCCTTAAAGCTGAGCCCTGTAAGCATTTTTATGTTCAGTTAACTCACTAAATACTCAAACATGGTGCCTTACTTGAGGTGGACCTGATCCCTCATTTCCCTCAGCCTCCCAATAGTCCTAGGTCGTGTGATAAAAGGAAAAGCCTTGTACTCCGCATCTTCCKTAGAAATTTGGGACAAAGAYTMGTTTAAACYCCTCAGGATTTTTGAATTTACTGCRAATTGCTGCATTTTGGCAAATACAGCTTAAACCCATGTAAACTTYTTTTCTTCCCTTCAGATGTGTGTGTTCTGAGCCTGAGAAACCAAGCAACGAAACATTGCGGTTGTGGAGGGCTCTAAATAAGTCTAGGGAAGATATAGCATGGAATAACCTTACAGTTTCTGTGAGTATCTGAAAGCTCTATGTATCTGTTTGTGTGTGTGTATGTACATGTGTATAAAAAATTAATACCTGCACGGTACCAGTTTTGATTAATATTTTTTCTTCTGATTTCTTTTTTTAATTGAACCTGGACTGTTTTCCTTTAAACTGTATTTTTGAACTCTCTTATTTCTTCCATAAGGCTTTAAAAAGTCATTGTAGAGGCGTAGATAAGTGAGTTCAGGAAACTAAATGCTAATATAAATGTCTGCTTGAGGTAGCCACCTTAATGCTCTTAGGCACCACAGTCATCTTTCTGCAGGTGAATGGGATGAGGTAAATAAACAGGAGTTTGCTGTCTTCCAGTTCCTGGAAGAAATATCTTTAATATGATGTGATGATGGAATTTGTAGTTAAAGTGTGGTAGCAAACATGATTTATTAGTTTGTTAGACATTGGTATAAAACTACWCTAGAATCAAAGGAACTACCTAAATATTGATTAGAGGAAAATAATTACTTGAAATTGAAAATAACTATTCGGAATAGGCTTGAAAACATTACCTTCTGAAGYGGATATTTTATACCAATATCTAATTTTGTGGGAAGGTAAAGAGGAGGAAAGTTACCATGTGGAAGTACTCTGGATGGCTTTTGGATAGAAACACTTTTGCTGATTAGTAGTTTCTTGGGCAGTGTGCAGTGGAACTAATGCAGCTGTGTACAGCCTCTTCATACACCCTGGCATCTGATTCCCACCTACATCTTGAACAAGTTCTTGGTTTGCTGTGGTTTTTGTTACCTGTGCTTGGTGTGTGTGCCTACTTTGGCCATCTGAGGCTGTCTGAAACAGCAGTGGATATCTTTGTATGGGTCTGCTTGTGTCTGAGCCTACACATTGACACTGAAAGCAGGTTTTTTGCTCAGCAGAAGTACCATGTYAAATCTCAGTGCTTTGAGTTCTAGCAGTCCTGGTTTTTATGTGCTACCAGTGGCTCCTGGTTTACCATCATCACCTGGTGTGGTAATTGGTTTTGAACTTAGTTTTTATATTTCCTTTCTATTATTTATTTTATATGCCTTTTCTCCTTTAATKCATGTTTAGTCTTACCTGAGAGACAGAACTGATCTGGGATTTGGTGGTGCTTATAATCAAAGTAGATTGCTAATGGAGAGAATTTTTGATATAAGTTAAATTTTCAAAAATTAATCTGTTTAAAGACTAGGTTGTAGCAGTGCTGCTTCCAGCTATTTGATTTACTGGCTTACGGTTTTCTTGTGCTCTGTGTGTSTACTTTAACTTTTTGCTTTGCATTTCAGTCAGTCTTTTAGATAGGTATCATCTAACTTAGTGTTGTTTTGTTTGTTTTTTTTTTTTTAATTCAGATCCATTATTTAGGATGCTGTCTTACTTAGCTAGAAACTTTTTCTTGTGGCTTGGTTAATCTTATTTTATAAGAGTATGTTTTTTCCCTTAGCTGTATCAGAACAAAACAAAGAGGTGGGAGAAACTGAGGAGATGATTTGTTATGTTCGTTAGCTTAAAGCTGATGTTGGGTATTCTGCTTTTCCTGGGCTTAGTCCTTAGTCTTTATGCATTCAATCTTGCAATGCTTTAAAAAACAGAATGGAAGTAATGTGACCAYAAAGAGGTTGTTTCTTCTTGAGCATCTCCCAGCATTTTAGAATCCTKAAATAATCAGTGGTGGCTACGGTGGCTTTTCTGGAACAGGCAGCACACATTTTTGGCTTTTTAGGGTGAGGTAGTGAAGAAGAACCCCTTTTTGGGAATTATGAACATTTTTAAATGTGTTTTATATGGAGAAGTTGGAAGCTTGSTTGAATGTACTGAATGAGTAAAACATAGACATATGAAGAGTTTTTCTCTTTSCAGGAATGTATAGAACATCATGGTGTGTTTCATGGATCAGCTTGTGGTCATCATGGACCGTATGTTCCAGATGTTCTCTTCTGGTCAGTCATACTATTCTTTGCAACGTTTTTCCTCTCTTCTTTCCTTAAGAAATTCAAGACCAAACGCTATTTCCCAACAAAGGTAATGCTGATTACAGAATATTGTTGTCTTGTATTATATACMATAGTATAACTTAATGGAGTTGAATTTTGTCTTTTAAGACAGGAARGAAAATTAAAAACCAAAAATTAGCTAATAATTACAGAAATGAAGACATTAGAGGAAAGAAATCACCTGCAGAAAATTCAGTGCTTAGTCTGTACTTTTGTCATGTTAYAACAAGATATTCTAAACTTTGAAARACCTAAGCAGTCCATCTCCCCACATTAATGGGTATTGCCAGGTATCATTAGTAGAGATAATCTTGCTGCTCTTTTCCTCACCTAAMCATATAAAACAATCGCTTGCTTTCCCCAAACTACTGATGTCTATTGGGTTTTGAGTATTTCCTCAGGGGATTACTGTTTACAAGATTCTTCTTAGGCTGATTTATGTAACTTCTGCTAGGCAAAATGAAGTGTTTAGATCTGCTATAAACCTCAGCTCATCCCTGCAATGTCTTCCTAATGTTTAATAAAGTTATCTTTGATAATCTGAATGTATTGCAAATTATCGGCCTCGTATCGATTAAAACATCAAATGTCTGAATATTACTGATGTAAGACACCAGAGACTTAGCTGTGATGGTCCAGCCTCATAGTGGGATTGAGGGGAGAGGAAGATGATGGAGTTGTTGGAAGTAATTTGCCTCTTGCAGTAGACCACTTTTAAATGAGTGAACAGTTGTACAAAATACTTATTCTCAGGCKTCATACTATGCCAGTAGGCAGCTTAAATTTTAAAGTAACCAGAGAAAATATGTAATGTTCATTGGTGTAGTATAATATAAATAAACTTCRCTTTGTATAGGGGAGACAATTGTCTTTCTACGCTTGAAGAATGTAATGGTGAAAAAGCAAGTCTTAACACGAGTATTTTTTTTTTTAGGTGCGTTCTACCATCAGTGACTTTGCAGTATTTCTGACCATAGTAATCATGGTTACGATTGACTATCTTGTAGGAGTACCTTCTCCTAAGCTTCTTGTTCCAGAGAAATTTGAAGTAAGAAATAAAACCTTTTGAAAAATGTAACTTTTTAAATGCTTGCAGTTTTATAGACAGTAGAACAATGGAGTTGTATAGAAATGGAAATCTCTCTTTTTTATTACAATGTAGTTAATCAAGTAGTTTCTCTTTTGTGTTTTGGATATCTGTCTCATCTGACATACACGTTATACTGTTACTGAAAATTAGCATTCTTTTGTGCAAATGTGCAAAAATGAAGGAATTGAATGGATTTGTTTTAATTTTTTCTATATAAATGTCGTGTTCACTTGTAACAGCTGAATCAGTCTTTTGATTAGAGCCATTGGAAGACAATCTAAATGTGCATTTAAGAGAATGATCCGTGTTCATTGAAGCTGTTTGTAATGATAAAAATCTGCATTCTGTTTTAGTAATTTAATTCTTGCTGATGGATTGGGTTTTTTTTTTTTTTTCAGCCCACCCGAAAAGACCGAGGATGGTTCATAGATCCTCTTGGAAGCAATCCTTGGTGGACACTCTTGATTGCTCTTCTTCCTGCTTTACTCTGTACCATTCTCATTTTCATGGATCAACAAATAACAGCTGTTATTATAAACAGGAAAGAGCATAAACTGAAGGTAAAGTAATTTTTACAGAAGTCTAATGTTGTGTAATTCAGGTTTGTTTTAAAACAATCAGCTGCTAAATATATGTGTAAATTGACTGTTGTGGTTTGGACTGTGGTGAAAGCCAAAAGCACTGCACCCACAACGTTCTCTCCCTTCYCCCCAGTGGGGASGAAGAAGGGAGAGCAAAAGCCCAATTAACACGAAAATTTATGGCTTTCAGATAACATAACATAATTAAAGGAGAAAGATACATRTGTGCTCCAGAGAATGGTCAGACAGGCTGAATAACTTAAGTTGCAAAATAGATTTATTACTACAAACTACTAAGAAWACTACGGCACCGGGGAGAGGAACAAAGATAGGGAAAAATTTACAAGGAGAAGAAAAATAAAAACGGACATTTTAAGACACCTGTTATCCTTTCYRGGACCMGTCTCTTTCCCAGGTCCTCCCTCTCCACCCCCCATTGTCTWCCCGCGCACAMAGGGGACAGGAATGAAAGTCTAACATAGATCAAACCACTCATTAYGGTTGTYRTCCAGCATCATARGARAAGYGTTCTTACAGCTCCAAGCTGTGGAAGTTCTTTTCCCAAGAAACAGTCAGTGTATAACTGTTGTGGCGAGGGAGTATTTTCTTTACCTCGTAGGAGAAAGGAAAGAATGTTCCTCAAGGCCAAACTGTGTTGTTTCAGCGGCGTAAGGCCACTATCACAAATCTCCTGGCAGGACACAGCTTCTTCTAAGCATCCACTTACTTCAGACGTAGGGCGGGGGCATCTCCTGCTCCCTGCAGAACACATTTTCTTCTTAGCATCAACTCGCTTCAAACATTGTGGGAGGCCAAGCCTCTTCCTCTCTTTTTTTGGCTCCTGATAAGTTCAGTCCAGTCCTCAAAGGCCAGGTTTTTTTCCCTCAGAGCAAGGTCACTCTCCTTTTCTATACAGGTCTCTCATTGATGACATAGTCCTTTCGAGAACAACTTATTTTCTCCATGCTCGAGAACCACAGAAACAGCACAGCAACCCATCCCATCTTCTCCTTATTGTGATCTTGGGTCTCCATTCTTTTTCTTACATCTCCTCACCCTCCTGCTCTGTTTTTCCCCGGTGCATGATACTAAAACTAAATACTAACAACCTAAAAACTACATGGTGGCCGCCCCTATCTTGTTTTGAATTCTTCTTAAGTACAAGGCCATACGTTATCACAGAGGTGTAACCAACCTGTGCAATTGGCCCAGGCCTGATGGGCACCCTGTCCATCAACCTCAGAGCCATAATGGATTGTTTCTAAAACACAGGGGGTAGGGCTCCTTTTGCTGGAGAAGAAGGAGAAAGCTTCTGGAACTTCCTCACAGGAGCCATCTTTGTGGTTACTTGGTCCCATCCCCCCACCACCAAAAATCAGACCAAGTAAAACCATGACAATTGACTAATAAAGAACAAATATGATTTTGTGGACACTCTTGAAAGATCTGACTTTTGTAGTTGTAGGTTATTTACCTGCTGAGTTAGAAGTATGGCATCATAYAAATAGAAAGTTTATCAAGTTATTTGTTTAATTTTTTACAGAAAGGCTGTGGTTATCATCTTGATCTGCTCATGGTTGGTATTATGTTGGGAATATGTTCTCTCATGGGCTTACCATGGTTTGTTGCTGCAACTGTCCTGTCTATAAGTCATGTTAACAGCCTGAAAGTTGAATCAGAATGCTCAGCACCAGGAGAACAACCAAAGTTTTTGGGAATCCGGGAGCAGCGAGTGACAGGATTGATGATTTTTGTGCTGATGGGCATGTCMGTGTCCATGACTTCTGTGTTAAAGGTAAAAGACAGTTTTTCCACAAGCTTTTCTTTGTGTTTTTGTTTTTGATGTTGTGATTGAGCATTTCATAATGCTAGGAAGTTCTGTTATGTTAAGATATGCTTGGACTCATTCTCAAATTACTTTTTTAGCAACAGATGTTTGTTTCTATTCAACTATGTGGAAGGATGCAAGAAAGCTAGGAATGTAGTGAGTAGTGAAGAAAGCACTTTTCCTGTATTACCTGATTTTCTCGCTGTCTCTTTTTTAGTTTCTTGGATTCATGTTACCTAAAAACTGCAGKTTTTATGCCAGTGCATAAGTGGAGAGAGAAAAGGAGTGTTATAAAGATGTAAAGTTACTTGAGCAGAAGTAWTATAGCAGAAGGAAGAGAAACATTGCTTTAAAAGGGAGAAATGACATTGTTCACTTCTTGTTCTTCAGYTTATTAAACTTCATTTAATTTTTAAAGTGTCAAGATTATCTTATGCAGCATTGCTGTGTCATGGTGATTTTGCTGGTTGTATTGTAGCGTCAGGTTACACTTCATTTCTTAATTTATATTCCTAGTGACCTTTCGAAGACTGTTGAAAGAAAATTACTCAACTCAGTTGGATTTTTGCTCAGCTTTACTAAAATCTGTTCAACTTCTGCTTTATTGTTTCAAATCCGGTAGTTAAAAGGAGAAAGCCAGAAATGCAGATATTGCATAACTGCTGGTATCTTTAAAGAACTTTGTAAAAGTCTGTTTAAACAAAGACAGACCACAAGCAATTTCATAAGAAATGTAGCTTCTGAAATTTAGATAAGGKGAAAGAATAATCCTGTAAATATACAGCTTTAGTTTAATAAGTAGTTACATATTATAAATTCTAAATAGTTGACCATTTCTATTATATTATATTGAATGTAATTACATTGTTTACATATATTAAAGAATGTAAAGAACTGAAAAGAATAAGGTCATGGCAATTATTAAAAATAAGTATTCAGATTTGACAGTCTCTCATTGAAAAGTTATGCAGCGCTTGATTGTATAATGCAAATAATCAGAATCAAAAGCAGTAACATTGAAACAGATTTATTACTACTCAGAAGCAAAAATTAAAAGTGCTGATTACTGAAGCGAAGTGTTTACCCCATGTTTAACATCTTCTTAGAAGCTAATTTGTTTTTCTGTACCCAGGGTAATAGGAATGGAATTATTACKCTTTGCTCTTTAGGAAATGTTTTTCTTTTTCAGTGTGAATGACTGTTAYTGTTCAAAAGAAGTAAGGAGAACAAAGCCTTGCATCTGTCAGTTGCTGTGCTTTGTTCCATGTCTGGATTTATACTGATTTAATGCCATAGAAGATACTGTATCAAATTATAGAACTTACAGTGAAGACACTAGCCACACACACACACATGCAGTAAGGAATCCCTAAGACAGTTTTATTCCACAATTTAAATATAGGTTTTTGTTCAGCCTTGATAGCAGCAGTTTTTATTAAGATTTCACATGGTATCTTGGCTGTCCTTTACTTGAAAGCTTAATGAATTCAAAAGCTTAATGAATTCAGGAGCATAAAAGGCTTTACTGCAGAGGTTTGATGCAAATGTCACTGAAATCAGTGGACAACTTTATTATCTTAGTAAGCTTTAAATTATACAAAAAAAATAATCTTGTGCAAGATTATGCTAGCTGTRTATTATATATTGCAATTTAAATTATTATAAATATTGTCATTAATAAGCTTTAAATAGATCTTCTTACTGGAGCATAATTTAGCTTTGTATGATTAGCAGATTTTCCTAGTTCATTTGATATGGTGGGGTTTTTGTATTGTCTGCTCCAGAAATGCAAGTGATCAAAAGCAAAATTTTGATATGGTAATTTCAGGAAGTTGTACAGAATATGGTAGTCTCAATACAATTCCTATCAAATAGCAACATAAAGCAGCAGACTTAGCATGAATAGAAATCTTGGTTGCAACCTGAAAAATACAGAGAATGGGCAGTCAMGGCAGAACTATTTTTTTATCTGGTGATGGCCTTGTTCTAGATTTTTTTTTACTGCTCATTGATACATATATTTTCTTTTAAATAAAGACCCTCAGATTTCACTTAAGTAAAACAAAGTAAAAAATAACTTGATCTGTGCCTTTCACTGATACAGACTGCTCACTTATGTATGCCATGTTGATTCTGCTTTTAACTTGGGGTGTTTTTTTTCCTCCCCAGTTTATTCCAATGCCAGTTTTGTATGGTGTCTTTCTTTACATGGGAGTATCTTCATTAAAAGGCATTCAGGTAAAGTCTGATTTTAATGAGCAGTTTGCTTTTGTTTAACACTGAATGAAAAAGAAACTGCAACACCCTGCATTATGTGACCCACAATAAAGTTATCCTATATTGTCTGAGTAGTGTGTAGGATAATTTTCTGAATGTCGTGTTCACGTATTTGTTCTTACAACATTGTGTCTTCACTTGTCAGTGCTTTTTCATGTATTTTTTTAGTAGTATAGCTAAGAAACAAATGTTCTGGGGTATTCTGGAATTTTTTATTATTAGTGGGGAGGGGCAGAGGGCCAGGATGGGACAACCCCTGCAAAACAGCCCCCAGTTCTACTCCCTTGAATGTTCAGTGTCCTCCATTAGTATTTTATTTGAACTTAGCTTATCTTTCTGTAGTCCCCTAAAAATGTTTCTTTTCTTCTGAAGAAGCAGAAAATAATTAACTGAAGAACRATTTTATTTTCCATGCAGTTTTTTGACCGTATAAAACTGTTTGGAATGCCTGCCAAACATCAACCTGACCTGATTTATCTACGTTATGTGCCGCTCTGGAAGGTCCATATCTTTACAGTTGTTCAGCTTACTTGTCTAGTTTTGTTGTGGGTGATTAAAGCCTCTGCAGCTGCTGTTGTTTTCCCTATGATGGTAAGTTTTCTGGTTTGCCAGTTAAGAAATAATTTTTGTACAAGACTATGTGTATTATTCAGGATCTCTGCAGAAGGTGTTTGGTGCTGTAAAAAGAGAGGAGTGGGAAACAAACAAACAAACAAAAAAAAACAACCCTAGTTTTAAAACCCTAGTAGTACAAGTTGTTCACTTTGGACACAAAGACTTCTCATTTCCTGCAAATAAGCAGTTCAATTGGGAATAGCTATTGAAAGTGGAAATTATTTACCTTTGTGGTAAGATAAAATCTAGTACTAGAAAAAAGGGCTTCAGTTGCAGATTCTGAATGTACTGAAAGTATGTGTGCATTTTTCTTCATTTAAGTAGCTTAATATAAAGTATTTTGTCTGTGGCTCCCTTTAGGTTCTAGCATTAGTTTTCATTCGCAAGCTCTTGGATTTATGTTTCACCAAAAGAGAGCTTAGCTGGCTTGATGATCTTATGCCAGAAAGTAAAAAGAAGAAAGAAGATGACAAAAAGTTAAAAGAGAAAGAAGTAAGTGTGAAAACAATTGAACTGACCATGTTGTAAATTAGTAGGAAATGCTTAATGCTATTTAAAAGAATTTTATGTGACCTAAGCATATGATASCCTATATACACCAGATCACATTTTGAAATTCTTTACTAATGAGAGTAAATTATTTACTAGAGGAACTGTTGTTGGTGTTTAAGGGCCCAAGTCACTGTTTCAATTATTCTGTTAACTATGATTCATATTTGTGATGAAAATTTGCAACCAAAGTGGAAAGAAGCAGCAGTTAGCACAAAGATGTTGGATCTTTGTCTTTTATTGGATTGTAAGGAGAGCAAATGGAGAGGAAGAGAGAAACGAGAGGGAGAGGGAAGTGGTGGAGTAGAATTCTTTATTCTGCTTAAATTAGTAACGAAACTGTTCATAATATCAGGGACATTTTGCTCATGTGTGTTTTTGTGGAGCTGTTAAAAGCAGCTTCTAGTTACCAATAATACAGTAACTTGCTTGTATACTGTCTCTGTAGAAGTCCTGCCTTACTGTACACCAGCCAGCTTATTTCCTTTTGAACTTTGAACACCCTCCTTCCCCAGTCTCCCATGTTCCTTGGCTTAATAAAACACTTCTAAGAGAAAAGATCATAAGCTCCATCTCCTGCATTCAAATCTGGCACCTACATGGAGCTGTCTCTTATCCCTATGGAGTAACTGTCAGCATGAGATACTTCTTTGATTTCTGCTGCATGAGTAAATTTACCAACTTCTCACTTGGAATTTACAGGAAGCAGAGAGAATGTTTTCAGACAATGATAGCGTACACCTTGCATATGGAGAAGCAAATTTGGATTTTCCTGTAAAAACCCTGAAATACAGGTATAAAATAATGTTAGTCTTTTAAAAGTTTGTGTATCAGATGTTGGAATTTGCTTTATATTGTTTGTTGTGTATAAGTTGAAATTTTTTTTCCCAAGCTTGTAACTTAGCYATGGTTAGGAAACATGAAGAATATCTCATGGTGTACATTAGTATTTTATATTGCATTGTTCTTTAAAACTGCATCTTAATTATAAATTTACATGACCATCTTGAACAGATCAGATGACTCAATTTCGACCAGCTGTACTAAAGGTGAAGAAGCATCCTTGGTCAGTTTCTATGGAATATTTGTGTGCTACTGTGCATGAAATACTGAGTATTAAGCAACTAATAGCATCAGTTGAGCCATGTGTTTACCAGCCACTTGGATTTTTCAGAAAAAATCTGAGTGTATAATTCTTTGGTTTACTTAAGCGAGGGCTATAAAGTTTATAGTTTCTGTGGTACTAACCCCCCATTTTGTAGGCAACCATATTTACTTTRAAAGGTTATTGTCTGAATGTAAACGTGAGATTAGGTTCTCTTCCAGAAARTRGAGTACTGGAATTTCAGGCATGGAAATTCTTTCAGCTTTGGGTAGGCATTTTGTCTCAGTTGGTGTCTCCCTTACTGGGATTGTATTTAGCCGAATTGTCAGGTATTCTCWACTGTTCCAACRTGACCTGAAGATGTGACAGATAAATAGCTTACACGTTTCCTTTTTGTCTCTAATAATAAAGATTGCTACTTAAAAATTTGCCTTCCTTTGGGTCTAGGGTAGTACCAGGTATACCCTGATGTGAGTTGGGAACAGGCAGAAATTTTGACAGGTATTCCTGCTGAGTGCAGTTGTCTGTTCTGAGAGCAGGCTTAATCAGACTTAAGCAACTCGAGTGAAAATCGTAAATGCTAAAGCTTTTTGAAAAAACATTTGAGTTGCTAATTGCTCTCACAGTGGAACTGTGATTTCATCGAATGTGTGCATATTTTGTATGTATTCTGCTGTCTGGTATCTTGTGGGGATCCCTGAGGAAAAATGGCTAATTAARCCTTTTTCTGCCATTTGAAAAACTTACAGATGACCTGGGGTAGATTCTTAAGCTTAAATAKGGAACAGAACAGAAAGCAGACCTACAAGTACAGGAGACTTAGGTCTTGCCTGTAACTGTGGAGGAGAATAGGCTTTGAAAACTTACCATCTGTGAGGGTGAATTTGTCTTCTGCAGCACTTGGAAGGGGARTGGTCTGGCAAAAGAACCTTGCAAAATGTCTAATAAGGCTTTGGGGGAAAAAAAACAACTTATAATCTGTCCAGATAATTGGAATTTCTAGATTTTTAATAGTTTCAAATCTCACTTGAACTTGTAAAATTTTATTAACCTTTCCTCTTTTACCCTTGRATATTTGCTAGATGCTGCTTMAAGTAACTGATASATGAAAGCCCTAGMACAACAGTGTRATTCAATCTATTATTTCTGGGCATGCAAAATAATTTTCTCAAGTTAGATATGAGTTATCTCTCATGTATTCTCAATATCTTATGTGTATCTATGTGAAAAACTGCTGTGTAATTATGGTAGTGCTAGTGAGTTAAGTTCTGAGTTTTTTGTTGGAGTATGCTTTTAAGAGATGATCTCAACTTGTGGCTGTGTAAATATTGAAAGAAGGCACAACTGATGTAAATGATGAGTGACAAGTAAGTATAATAGTGTTGCAAGGAATTGAATACTAACCAGAAAGTATGTTTGTTCTTTAGCATTGATCCCTCAGTTGTAAACATATCAGACGAAATGGCCAAAACTGCACAGTGGAAGGCTCTTGCCATGAATACTGAGAATGCCAAAGTAACCAGAGCTAACCTGAGGTAGCTATAATTACTCATGTGTTTTCTAACTATTGCCTCCTSTTTAGCAGTTGTGCATACATTTATTGAAATGTATTTCAAAGAAATTATTATGTGTGGTTTATTAATCTAAGTTACTGACTTTTTACTTTGGAATAACAAGAATTTGAGTTTAACTCTTTCTCTTTACTCTGAAATKTATCCATTTCTATAAGGCATTGTTTTATTACTATTTTACTAAATGTGTAATTTTAAATAGAAATTTTAAAATTAATATTTATTTGCTTAATACAAGTATTTACTACTCCGGTGAGCTTAGAGTTTCTAAATACTTGAGTGTATATGAGCATGGGAGTGGTTTCATCCTTGACAATAGAAATTCCATGAGAATAAAAGGTAAGTCCAGCACTTTCATTGTTGCTTTGTGCTGCCCTAGGATCTGCCCCACTGTTTTTGTGGATGGGTRGGTTGCTTGAATTGGTTTTTCTCAACCCATTTTTAATATCTAAAAATGAAACCTCTCTCATATACTGTCTCCCCTGAATATGAAGTATAGTTGAATGAAGTATGTAGACAGATCACAAGTCCTCAGTGCCGTGAACATTCCTGTGAGCTGACATGCATCCTCCATGCTGGCCAGTAGCTTTTTTCTCTGTGAGCTTCCCATCAAACCACAGAGTCTGTGTGTGATGAATCATTCTGCTCATCTGTCCTTGTTTCTTTCCTGTCTGGCTGAATCCATCAAGGGAAACAAGGCAAAACATGAATATTTTTGTGGAATATTCCCAAATTCCTGAGCAGCTTATAATTTATAGGGATTGGTGTCTATGGACTGTTCCATTGCATCCATGCAGCTATTGCATAGTAGTTTTTGCCTAGGAAAGGAGAGGATCGGCATGCTTGTCTCRGAAAACTAAATTTAAGCAATCCTGTTGTCTGTGATATGCATCTTTTCTTGGTTGATCCTTTTCAGCCAATTCTGTCAAAGGAAGACATATTCAAAGATACAAAATTGTCAGGTTTTGTATAAAATTATAAAAAGAAAGAGTGAAAGAGTTCATGGTGAGGAGGAGATGTTCATATATTACTGCCCAAGCCATCTCAGGTGCTGTTGGAAGCACTAGTAGTGAGTTAGCACTTGTATACTGTCTGTCTATTCACCTCGTGTGTTGCTCCAAACTAGGCATGGAAATAYGCTTTGTTTTGGCCAGGCAGCAGCTCAACCAAGGGTGAAGGAGACAGGGAAAGAACTTGGAGGTATTGTAAGAGGAGAGCTTAAGAGACTTATCAGTGCAGGCACCATTTCCAGTGAATGTCTAGGCTGYGCTGAACATTTGAACATTTTTTAAATATTAAACACATGTTTGATTAAAACATTTTCAAAACTTGAGTACCACACAAGTGAGTCTGCCAAGAAGATAAATAATAGGAGGCATTAAATAATTAATAGAGCATKTGTGTCAGTATACCCTCCTTATTTAATTTACATTTTTCTTTCATGGTATATTCTTAGAAACCCATTACAGAATTTGTGGACTCTTCKAGTGCATCTCTGATAGCCACTGTGTGTATCAGGATTGAAGAGATACAGACCTGTATTTCTTTTTCCAGAAGCATTAAGATTTTTAGATTTGATTTTCAGGCAGTTGTGTTTTGTGTAGTGTTGCAGTGTTTTTTGTTCTGCTTAGCCTTATATGCATTATTCCATCTATTTGTTATGTTTTGCTATAAGACATTTCCCTTGAATTCCATAACATACCCTGCTTGAGCACAGTACAGTAAAAATTCCATCTTAGTAGGGAACTTGCTAAAACTACAAATTGAAGATAAAAACCATTGGTCCCAGTAACCAGCTTTTTAACAGTCAATCTGATATTGCATTAATCTGGAAAGTGCTGGAAAGCAGTCTTCTTGAGCTTTRACTCAATTGGTTGCTGTTTTGAGGTATTTGCTACACTATGACTGTTTGCTCTTGAGATTCAGGGATGTCACTACTTGTCAGTGAGAAGTTACTCCCAGTAAATTACTCATCTCCATTCTGTTGCAGTTTTTCTGCATAACTATCTTCATCTAGTGGTACAGACAGACATGTAGTGCTGTGGTAAAAATGGTTCTGTAGGCACTCTTTTCAGATTTATATTCAAATACTAATGAGGTTCAAACCAAGCATGTCTTCTATGATTCCAGATGACATGTTGTGTGGGTTGGCATGATTTATTAAATACCATATATTTTTTAAAAAATAATTTTCTAATTTTTTTGTCTTTCCTAAACTGATCCAGATTGTGTTTTCTTTCTACCTTAACCATCTGTTGTAGTTAACACACTCTGTGGAGTCCCAACACACTTGTATTTTCTAATGAGACCCAGAATTTTTCTCTTTGCATGAATTTTTAATATATTTTCTCCTTAAAGAGATGACGCATCCTACAGATGTGTCGTCTCTTCTAAAATTCATCTTCCCTCTTACGCTGTTCCATTTAATTTTCTACTGACTTGTGACTACCTCAGGGCATTCCTTGTTGTCCTTCAGTCAGGCACTGTTCAGTGTCTGTGTCCCTAAGAGTGTCAGTTCAGGTGCCAGTTGTCTTTAGGGTCTTCACTTGAAGGGACACTTAGACAGGTTTCTTACTATCCTCTGCTGTTGTTGGAAATGTGATTCTCCTTTTTGAGCAGACTGAAATGTTTTCCCAGTCTTGTGAACAAAAAGGTTTCYCTTCCCAAGAATAAAGAAATATTAATAATATTGCTTGCTATGTATTTTGAGTATTTTTAACAGGACTGTTTTTCAGGCTGTGGTAGGGTTTTGTTTGTTTGTTTATTTTCAAAGATGTTTTGCATTAACAGTGTCAAATCAATAAAAGCAGTGGAATTTGATATGGTATTTATGGATAACATATTTGTGTTTTCTCTCTTTGAGTTTGTACTGTTATTCTGAAATGTATTTAACAATCACTAAAATGTAATAGAAATGCCTCATCATAAAAGCATTCTTATGTAAATACTTTCAGTGTTTATTGTGAAGCATAAAATGTTTGAAAGTTGACCTATCCTAAAGTGAACCAAACTTACATTTCCTTCTTTGTTTTCAAACAGCCCTGAAAAACCAGAAAGTGTGAAAATAGAAGTGGAAAACACACATGTTGTGAGATAYGTGGATGCTGAAACATCTTTATAGAACGGAACCAATGGGAATTGCTGTATTTGTGTGTGTATATATATCACTGTAGGATAGTGTACCATGGAAGTGTGATTTCCAGTTTAAGAAGCAACATATATTTAAATTCTGCCGTTGTTTAGGGCACTGTAGATATGCTTGCATAATGTRAAGATTTTCCCAGCAAATAAGATGAGTGGTAATCACACTTCAGCTATTTATTTTATTGGTAATTTTATTTTCATTTTTAAATAGGARGACTGTAATGAACGCTTATTATTTTCAATTATCAATATGTGCATAAAAGTTRCATCAGCTTTTGCTGATAATTACTGGTCCACATTGCTTAAAATTTTGCAATACCTCTGTTTATATGCGCTACAGAAGTTTTGTTTTCCATGCAGGCAATTAGTGCTTGTTTTTGCAGGGTATACTTTTTCTGTGGTTTCATAGAACAAATATTAATGTGCTGTTGACAAGAACTACTGTGTTTTATGTCTCCACTCCATGCTAGTGTTTTCTAGGTTCTGTCTCTCCTATTCTACAGAAGTGTCCAAGAGCCCTAAGTCAGGTGGTTAGTTAAGCCTTAAAATGTATCTAAATACCCTGGTGTGCTGCTTTCTTTCTTTTTTTGAATTCTCTTGGGTTTTCATTATTGTCCAGTAGTAGTATGAGTGTAGCAATGGTAGTTACAGTCCCAAGTCAGTATTTACCATTCTGGWCACTCCGTGTTTACACAGTATACATTGGATTTACAAGCAGCAATTGGTCTATAGGAAGTTATAAATACCACATCAGTACTCTTGAATGATTTTCTTCCTCTTTTTGCTTACATTTTTTTCCATCAACTTTCAGAGGCAGATTTACTCAGCTCTAAGATTTTAAAGTATTTCATATCTTCAAATATATTTCTYGGTTAATAAATTTTTTAATTTACTGTGTAGTTGATTACATTAGCTGTAGTTCCATTCTGGAATAGGCTTATGATCAGTATTATTTGATGGATTACTAATTGCTTGTGGTATTTGTATGTACAGTTCTGATCCTCTCTGTTGTAAAGGGCATATATAATAGCACACCAACTTATTTTTAAACACTTTATTTATTATAATTAGTATAAATTTTTATCATGTAAGATGAATTGAAAAAATAAATATTCATTTATTAAAGTAAATGGGATGTTTTGGGGACTCCACTGATAAAGATGCAGTCAGTGCATTTATTGTACTTACATTTGCAAGTTCTARTGTTTAGCATTATAATATTTGAAATAATGAGAATTTTATATATAAATGAAATCTTGATCACTTACCTGCGCAGTTTCCATTCTTAATATTTTTTTTTGCCTTATGCCTTAGTTTCTATTTGTTTAAATTTCCATTATTATCTCTTTACMTTCTGAATTGCCACTAGCCCTTTCTGAATGCATTACAATGGCTTTAATTAGAATCTGTTCTCATTTAGTATTAGAAGATGCTGTTTGCTTAATTCTGCTTTTGGCAAAGTTGGGAATTTTACCATGGACCAAGTGATAAAATTCTCAACAATTACAAAAGGAGCTGATTCTGGAGGAGGGCAGACTATCTGAAAATACCACTTGAAGTGGAATTTTGGTGCTCTTCAGCCAMGTGTCACCTGTAGAGAAGGTAATTGTATATTACAAAAATAAAGCAATCAGTGGGAGTAAATAGAAACATTTAATAATAGTATTTACATAACGTGGACTGTTCCCTTTAAATGTAATGCAATTATTCAGCTTTTTTTCCTTTCCTTTTTTTCTGAGAAGACAGTTTAAAGAAAGGAAATCGTAGTGTACAGCAATATGAATAATGGTATCCAAACTGTCATAAAAAAGGCTCAGGTCAGTGGCAAAGCAAGTGATGTCTGCATTAGCAGTTCGACCAATACTGTGTAATGACCTGCATTTTTAGATAATAGTGTAGCTTGTGCCTTAGTTTGACTTTGTACTCTTTCAGAATATARCCCATGTTTTCCATCTGATTAAATTGGCATACAGTAAAACTACAGTAGACAGTTTCTCAAAACTTTCTATGTTATTTAAAAAATAGACCCAAAAAGCCATTTTAATGTCAATAGTTGGCTGCTAAGTACGTCTTGCCCTGAATCAAGGAGGGAAGAGATATTTCAAGCATTTTATGTAGCATCATCCACAACACAGTAATTTTGTCCTCACAGTGCTATTATACGCTTTGTGTTCACAGTCCTGCAACAATTTCCAAAGACCCMAAAAAATTGCTAGAAGCCTCATGGGTTTCTAACTCTTTAATGCTGGAAATCAGGGTTCCATGGTGCTGCGCTCCTTGGCTTCTACTTCAGAAGGGTTAAGTTTTGGTCAATATTACAAGAAGTGGGTATATTTTGAATACAGTTGAAAGGAAACAAAACCAAAGCCCCACAAGTCTAATCACAGTATTTATTTAGTTGTGTAGATATTTTAATCAGTGCCAGAAATACCATGATTTGGCAAACCAGTTTACAGTGACCTTTAGTTCCAGTGTTCTTGGGCRATAGTTACACTTGCTCATTCTTCCCATATGAACAGAAGATCTGGTATATACGAGTGCATAAATCCATTGCTGTTGTATGGTTAAGTGGTTCACTGCTAATTTTACACCTTCTCGCTTTAGAATCACATGTAGCATTAAAATAAAATGACTAAGGATGTAGTTTATTGTATGTAGATGCATGTTTTGCCTTAATGGATGCAAAAGAGCAGTGATAATTGCTGTGCACTGATGTTTTTTTTCTTCATAGGGCTTAAGCCCTGTAAAAACTACGCCAATGGATTTCCATTCCAACAGTTAGAGGAAAATAAACAACCCTGCACTTTTTATAGATGCCTTGGTTTCCTGGAATGGAGCTTAATGCTACTGTGTACATGGCTGCAGAGCCACCTCAGGAAGTCCCTCTTTTTTTTTTTCTTTTTTTTTTCTTATTTTTCCTTTCTTTTTCTAAGTTATTTATAAATATGAATGTTTACATTAAATATAGGTCTTAATTTTGACCACTCCATTTAAATGATCATCTAAAATGTATCACTTAAAATGCAGTTTTGTGTTTAAATTATATTCTGGAAAATTCAACTCTTTCTATTTTCATATATATTACAGTGACACGCTTTCCATTCTGTTTACAAATGCCCAAGTTAATGACAATTTCCTCCTAGATTAATTTTGCAGCTATAACATAGTATTTTATACGATTGTTCCATGGAATGTTCCAAATTGCCAAGTTGGTCATCATAAAACCTGTCAGGGTAGAACTTGGTGCCCTAATGGTTTGGAATCTTCTTCAACCATTGGCCATTTTTTTCTGCATTTAATGGAAATTCTCCCATTARTTATCATTTGCTTCACCTGCATCTCTGTCTTTTTACAGTCACTTCCTAATTCGTGCCCTTTGCAAAGGCAGGTTCTACAGGCTGTAAAATATATCTGTAACAAATGGGTGTCACATCGCAGAGCCTGCACCGCTCAAAAGGGTTTGTCTTGTACATAGGTTCTGTAAATCATAAAGTAAATGGTTCATGACTTTCAGTTCACAAAYRTAATCTGTCAGGTGAGCACCACAGYGAGCTTAGTTTTCTTTTTGCTTTCTTATGATTAGTAATGTTTTAATTACTCATCTAGRACAAAATTATCAAGTACAGTAAAATGTGGGAAATACTTTGTTTATACTGACAGTAATTTATTTTATGGCAAATTTTAAGACTATAGATGCACACAGCTTTGAGTCAGCATAAGCGTAGTGCTATAAATAAAGCAAATTGCTCAGTAACTTTAACTCAATTTTATTTTATAATGTTTTTAGTGAAAACTTATAGAACTTTGTAGTTGGCATTGAACTTTACCTAAAGACACTTTCATATTGAATTTAGTATCTGTTGACATTTATTTGGAATAATGAATGAGTTTGAAAATTGATACTTTTCTAAATTATTTTATTGGAAAGACACATCATTTATAGTATTTTCCTTTCTATTGTTGCTGATGCTCCTGTGCAAAGGTGTCTTCCAGGTTCAGCTTCTGCGGCTGAGCTGCAGTTTTGATTTTAATACTCTTTATTTGAAATGTGACTACATACTGTATGGTTCGAATTTTTTATGACTGCTTTTCTAATTACAGTGACGTTTTCTTACTTTATAAATAAATCCAAAGCAAACGAAAACATTATTCCAGCTGTAGAATCAATATTCAGTTTATACAGAAAACACAACTCTCAGACTTGTCTTTAATGTGAAAGATTCAGCCTTTGTGTTGTTTTAATTACTGCTAGAAAAAAATTATCTTTTGTAACGTTTCAGAAAGTTGGTAAAAGCAATAAACAATCTCCTGAACTGTATTCCGGCCCCTTCTGTTTTAATCGCGCAGGGCCGGGGGGTGCTGGGGTGAGACCCAGCGGGGCGGGCTGGGCCGCGGCGTCCCCGTGACCATGGCAACGGCGCCGGGCGGAAGCGGTCGCTAGGCAACCGCGSTCCCGCCGAGCACGGCGGCTCGCGATTGGCCGGCGGTGCGGCGCGCTCCAAGAAGACGGGAGGCGATTGGCCGAGGGGTGGCGTGCCGGCGGAGGAAGAGTCGCCGTAGCCGGGGCCGCGGGGCAGAGCTGTGAGTGGGACGGGGCGGAGGGAACGCGCTGAGGCACCGCCGGGAGCGGGAGGGGGGGATACAGGACAGCCTGGGGAGGGGCCGGTCGAGTCCAGAGCAGGCAAGGGTAAGGAAATCGATACAGTGCCCCCGTCCTCCTCCCGTTCCACTCAATGCCGTGTTCTGCAGCCCTGCACCTCCACCAGCTCTGAGCTTTCAGTAGGCATTGAACAATCTCATCATTCCCAGAGGCTCGAAGTAACAGCGATATAATTCCCTGTAAAAGTCTGCCTAGTAGCGAGGGCGGAGAGGATGAATTTCAAAGAGCTACGTGTTATTCTCGAATTGATACTGAGCTGCTCCGTAGACCTCAGAAATAATCCCCTATTCTTTTTTTTTTTTTTTTTTGGTAATTCCATTTTTTTTGTGTTCCCCTTACCTGTGTGAACTGCAGGTTAACAGGATGCATTAAGGCAGACTCTGCAGAGAATAATTGAAAAGTTATGCTCTGGAAATTATCCCAGGTACTGATATTGGGTGGATTCGTGAATGTAAGAACAGGCCTGGCCATTTATGGCTCCACTGGAACTGGGGCGGTGCACAGAAAAAACAAAAAAAGCAAGAATGAAACAAACCCAAACCAGCAGAAGCTTGAATATTTTCATTTGTCAGGAAAGCAGGAACCTTACACYGGATCCTAGTTAATCTTTAGAGAATCTCCCAAGAAGTTACTAAAGGAAGGTTGAGATATGTATATGTGTGTGGAAGTTTTTGTGTATAGGAAACACACAGATTTCTGTGCTGATTCAGTTAATAAAATGAAAGAAATATTCTGCAAACATTGTCTGTATGGGTTCTTCAGTACAATTTCCTAGACAGATTATCGCTGCTGGGTATCTATTATGACTGCTGTATTCTTTGGGAAGAAGAGGGGAAGCCACCCACAGTTCCCTTTTTTCCCATATGACTGGGTAATGAAAAGTACCTTTTGGGAGGTTTTTGTCACCTTTGATGCTTCCTTTGCTATAATTGTGATCATGTTTGAAATCCTTTTCTATTTTGACAGTAGTATATTGATAATTGCTCTTTTAAGGAATGAATTTTCACCTGACCTTTGTCTGACTGCGCTTATGGTATTAGATAGGGTGTTAGATACATTCCTATCTAGCAACAACATCAAAAGTCTTATTAAAGCAAACACATCTACTGTGTCTTTAGCCACCTTAAGCCTGTTATCCTGTRTATGATTAGACAGTGGAATTCAGCCACTGGAGGGATTGAAGAAGGAGTTCAAGGAAAAAATCAAGCAACTAGTTTGCTTATGAATTATCCATATCCAGTAGTTATTGCTGAAAACATTATAAAGAATGTGAGACGTCTTCTTGTTGAAGAGACTGCTACACTGTCATCGCTGGGAGTAGATCTATCCCTTGACACTTCTTTGTGGTTTTGTTTATTTTGGGGCTTGTTTTTACCTTCTGAAGTTTATGTGCTTATGTCATCTGGGACAGATACTAGACTGGGCCACAGATCAAGTCTGGGGTAATTCCTTTGTCTCCTGTTTCTTATCATGTGGATCCTTTTATTACTGACAGGGTTCTTGGAGCATTTCTTGTCCTATCCTGCATTCCAGTGCTGTCAGAATAYACCTCTGTTCCTATGTAATTGAATCAACACAACTAATTAAATGTAATTATCCCCAATTAAAAAGAATRCATTCCTATTGCTCTAATTTCATTGTTTTAAATGGAATTAATGAGACTCTGTAAAGACATTTTCCTTTTAATGTGTTTCTGTTCTTTAAAAGAGTTATCTGATCTCAATTTTTATCTGGCATAACTGAGTGTTGCTTGCTGTGTTTCTTATACATTCCTCATGGCTGGTGTAATAGCAGAGGGATAGTTATGAGGATAGTGAATTGCCTGGCTCCATGGAAATTTCTGCTGGCACAAGTAAAGAAGAAACATGGGGTGGGAACTTACTCAGTGACTTCAAGAAAGTCAAATAACTATGTGAATAGGTAAGGGAATATTCATGTCTGTTTTCTCTCTGGTTTCTGGCTGATAGAAGGAAAATTGAGTTGTTTCTGTTTGTCTGCCCTTCACTCAGGACACGGTGCTAATACATCTACTTGACTTAATGACTGGCTACTGCAAAAAGGGACTTTCTGCTCTTCTCCCTTGGTTTRCACCTGTGCATTCCTCCCTTGTCAGCAGAGACACACATCAGGCCACTGTGACAGTGAGCTAAATTGGTATGGAAATAACAATATAAATGGAAGCATATTATTTTCTGTGTTTAGCTCTCTAAACTGGCTCAAATTTGGGTTGGATCTAGTAAAGAAGTAGAGAAAAACTGCCATGGGAAGGCGAGGGGAAGGCCATTTTCACTGGCAGCTGGCTGTTAATTAATTCAATTAATCTTTGTAGCAAGGGGAAGGGCATAGCACTCTAAGCTGCATAGATAAATCTTCCTTTCTGCTTGTTGTCCCTGCCCTTGTACARTAGAAGTGCTTTGGAGACAAGTTAATCAGGGCTAAAGTAGGAGAGATTATTTGTAACCTGAATCAGGTTTCCCAGATCAGTGAGCTGTGCATCTGAGATAATGCTGGGCAGACAGACTAAAGAGGTCTGTGTAGGGTCAGTTTGTGGCCAGAGCTGGTTTCTTCCTTGAGGGTCTTACTGACATGCGCTGACTTGTTGGTCTCTAGGAAACAGAGGGGTAACCTCAGGGTGAGTCCACAGCGCTGTGTGGGGGTTGTAGCCTTGACTGAGTTGCATCCCTTCATTCKCAGCAGCAGTGAAGGGAGTTTGGCTCAATGTTTGTCAGTTTTGCACAGGGCCTTGTGGATCTGTAATGGCAACAAACCTTTRAAATATTAGTCATCTGTTACTCTGTTTCATCTTTACCAAGGTAGAGTAAACAGCAAAGAATTGGAATGGCAGCCCTAAGGCAAGGTTGGTCGAGTGTTGTAAAATGTTCTAAATAATCACAAAGCTAACAGTTCTGTATTAAATCCTAGCCATMCTGGGAATCCTGCTGTTTGTGGTTTAGAGATTTAACCTGAGGATTTCATGTGATGCTGAAAATTTTAAAGGTTTGACTCTGTTTGCTCATGGACAAGTTGTTTGTGTGTGGTTTGGTTGTTCTTTAATTGGTTGAAATCTGTTCTTTGTGCACACATACTCATGGTCAAGTAGACAAGTTGTGAGTTTCTCAGTATTTCCTACTGWGCAAATGTGTTGCATTGTGTCATGCCTCAGTAAGATCCTAAATGGGTGAGGTACTGGGKAGATGATATAATATCACTGAAACAATACATGGAAATTCTTACTCATGAGGATTCTTAATGTGCTTAGTGATGTACATGGCTTCTCTTAGCTTTTAATGCTTTTGAAACAAAGGTGTGAAGAAATGCTTTGAGCAAACAGCATTTGGTTCAGTCTGAACTCAGTAGTTTTTTCTGCTAACTGGTCGAACAGATCCTGTTTATATTCATTCCCTGGTAATAACTGGTGCTACAGMAGTGTTCTGAGGTGTTTTTTAAAAACCCTGTTGACCAGATGCATGGAAGACAGCAGAGTAGTTTCTTGTGGATCCAGATCAATTATATCCAGATTCCCTGTGGTAGGATAAAGGCTTGTTTAAAAGACTAGAAATGGATAAACTGGGCTTACAGTTTCTACTTCTGAGAGGGATTTAATACAGTGCACAAGTTCATACTGTCAACAGTTGCATTTTGGGTAGTTCTGTGATGCGAGATTGTGTAACTGGGAAAATTATATTCTTTTGGGAWGGAGCAGCTTCTGGCAGTTTACAATGCTTTTGTTTCAAGACCAGTTTTCTTCTATTTTGCCTTTATGAGAAGAAAAAATAAAAATCAGTAGCCGAGGAATTCTACACTGCACAACAAGAAAAGCAGGCCATCAGGTTTGGTATAGAAGATCCTGTTAAAGATACACTGAAGGGAACTTCCAAACAGCCTGTGTTTAGTGAATAATATGTGTAGAAAGTAACAGACTCTGGCATTATAGCCTTGTTTTTTCAATTGAAAGTGCCCCACGAATATGCTACAGCTGTGTGCACTTCTCTAGGCTAATCCTATAGCCCCAGTTATTCCTGACCATTCTCTTTTTTCACTCAGAGAAGCATYAATATAATTGCTTTTTGTGGYAACAAGAGGTTCCTCTTGAATATCYTCTTTCCATATCTTTCTGTGTCTTTCTAGAGCTTTGTAAGACTTTCAGGAGAGGTGGTGTGTACTGTGCAAGTGACTCGCTGAGGTCTGTTGTGGGAAATCAGACCTACAGACTGAACGTTTGTCTGCAGGGATTTAATGTGTTTTAATGGCCCTAATGAGGCCGTGCCATTTAGCTCTGCTCATCTGTGGAAATAAGCTGTGTGTCCCACTGCAAGGAAAGCATACTATTATAAAGCATACTCATACCATACTATTGGTATAAGGGCATTCAGAAGACCTAGATTCTAAACTGCTGAAAGTTTCTGTTATTCTTTGGTAGACTGTGTGATCATAGATTSATAGAATGGTTTGGGTCAGAAAGGACCTTAAGATCACTGAATTCYAAGTCTCTGCCATGGCAGAGGCACSTGTCACTATATACCAGGTTGATAACAGCCCCATCCAGCCTGACCTTGGACACTTCCAGGGATGTCCACAACTTCTCTGGACAACCTGTTCCAGTGCCTCACCACCCTCATAGTAGAGAATTTCTTCCTAATATCAATCTAAACCTGACTTCTTTTAGTCTGAAGTCATCATCTCTTGTCCTAACACCACATGCCCTTGTAAAAAGTCCTTCTCCAACTCTCTTCTAGGCCCCTTTAGGTATTGAATTGCTGCTTGATGTCACTCTGGAGCCTTTTTTTCTCCAGGCTGAACAACCCTAACTCTCTCAGCCTATCCTCACAGGGAATGTGCTCCAGCCCTCTGATCACCTTTGTAGCCCTTCTCTGGACTTGTTCCAGCAGGTTTCAGATGGGAGCCCCAGAGCTGGGTGCAGTAGTCCAGGTGGGGTCTCAGTAGAGGGGAAGAATGACCGGTCTCAATTCGCTGCATGCATCTCATTATTTTTTTGTCAGATACCTCCTTTCTCTACCCTTCATTTGAGTTGTTTATTTGGATGATATAACTATTATATTCTCTGTTGTCTGGACAACAGCTTGTTGTTGACAACTTTGATGTTAGCCTGTAACCACTGCTGTAACATTACCAGCCAATTCCAATTCACAGTGACAAATAATGGTAATAAGATGAAAGAAAAAAAAATACATGAAATATCAAGATGGTATCTACACGTGTTGGAAAACCAAGGTTTCTGTATGGCAGGTTACTAGCTTTCTTATTAATATCTGGATTTTCAAAGGATATTGTGATATAATGTCCAAGGTTTCACGCTGAGGAAATGGCAAAGCTGGTTATTTTTCTAGAAGTGGTATCAGTTGGTTCTGTAAGTAATCATCTGTTCCTTTTGCTGCAGTGATGTAATTCTTTGTATCTACTTTGTTTTTAAGGAAATTAGGTTTTAGCTCTATAATGATAATAGTGTCCTGATCAAGACAAAAAGTTGAAGAGCACAGAAAAAGCAACAGACAAAAAGCCTCCTGGGATCTCTATGAGGTATAGTATGTGACGTTTTACTTTGAACTTCAGCAGGACTCRTGTGGAATTTGCTCTGGCTGCCAAAGCAGAATGCTTCAATTTGAAATGCAGTATAAACATGACAACTGTTACTCTGGTCACAGAGTTTATTTACACCTTTGTTGATTTAAGGCATTCTGGAAAAGCTGTAAATTCTTCTGTACGCAAAATGCCGACACTAGGCAACTCTAGAAAATTTTATTTTCTGTCAATTGCACTGCTGCTTGTTGACCTTCTTTACACTTATGGAAATACTTTTATGTAACTATTATTTAACAACACACATGCTATTGTGTTTTTTTCCTAGGGATTATTCTGCTCTTAAAAGACTCCAGTCTCTTTTAAGTGTTTAGTCAAGGAACCAGCAGGTATTTTTCCACAGCTGTTATTAAACGTGCTTTAAAGTTATAGTTAATGGTGATTATGGTTTGTGGCATATGCTTAGAACATTGTGCTCTATAATGATTAAAACATGATAGCAAAATTTTGAGTAGTGGATGTCATTGTRCTTGTCTCTTTTCTCCCCTATTTTTTTTGGCAACATTAGAACCTTCTGTATGGGACAAATCAGTTTAAGAGTGGGTAAAAGAATGGAACTGATACTCTTCCCATTCTACTGTACTGTATTTTTTTTTAATTTCAACAGAAAAAAAAATTCTTTTCCTTTTGTGTGTTGTGCAGGTTTTATCCAGCTCTTATTGCATATAGTCAAGTAGCCTAGCAGATTTGTTTTCCTCTRTGCTCTTTCACAATGTCACAAGAAGGTAGGCTTAGAGATGTGTGAGCTACAGCATGGGGAAGAGTGGTAAAGAGTATAAATAAGATCAGCATTTTAACCATAAACAATTTGTCTTTGAAGAATAACACTTCAGCTAAAAATATTCAGGGCATAAATACCAACTTGCAGGAGAAAGTCAGATCTCCTTCACCTCAACTCACTTMGTGTAGATTGTATTTGCCATTTGAAGCAAAGAAAACCAACACATGGTGATGGGTGTGAGTCTTTGGACTCACAGAACATTTTCTCCCTTTCAATTCTGTAAAAAGATATGACAAAATGTCTRGAGGATTCATCCATGTGAGGTAGGAGTTATGCACTTTCTACCTGGTTAGAGGCCTGGAATTGCTTCTGAGCAGAAAGCTGAAACATGTGAGTTCTACAACCTAAAAAGAATGTGAAAGCTATGCAATTATAGAATTGGGACAAGTAAGAAGCCTAGACAATGAGCACAATAATCGTGTGCTGCAGATTTTGTCGAGCTTTGCTATTATAAATTTTAAAGGACACCGTTCTTCACATTTTACTTTCCTTTGTGTACTTGTTTTCCAGTTTTGCTTTGCATCAGTTTTCTATCACGTCAGTTTTGTTTTGCAGAGGGGATGTGTGTATTCTATAATGGCCAGTTTTAGGTCMAAAGTTCAAATCAGAACTTGAGAAAAGGTACTTTTGCTTGATAATATTCTCATAAAACTTAAAATGCAGTGCTTGCCTCATGATTSCTATCCCTTCCCTCCTTAGCTTCCAGCTATATATTCTGAAAGTGGTCAAACCAGTATGACAAAAGCTTGACAAAATGTCAAAAGCAATGAACAAGTTTAATGGTCAAAGACAAGAATTAGCAGAAGCTGTTGAGCTTGAAAAATTTAGGTAAAAGTAATTAAAAAAAATGCTGACGATTCCACTCATATCCCTGAACATCTTTATGTATCACCTTGTTGAGGTGTTGAAAGCATTTATATTTTTACATGTCTGTTACTTGTACTTTTCATGTTAATTCAGTATTTGAGACAAGAATTATGTGTTTTAACTTTTTAAACCTGTTTGTTTCCTGCCTTTGTAAGTTTCAAACTTTCCCACTCAGCAGAGTGTACTGGTGAGAGTTAATATACTCATTTTAAATAGTGATCATTTCTTTATTTGGAGAAGTTATACCATTCTGATATTCCCAAATTGTGCATGAGATGAGATGGATTGTTAAATGTCTGGCAATTTGAAATTGTGTTATTCTGTAGTAACTGCTGATACGRCATTTCTTACTTTTTGTTACTAATGTTATATTGTAGCAATGTAAAATTGTCTTGCAGCAATTCACCTTTTTTTTATTTCCTCATTAGCATGACTTACCAGAATGAGAGAAATTTTAGCAAGCATCCCAAACATCAGCTGTTTCAAGGTATGTTTACAACTTTAGGTAAGAGCAGACTTACCTGTAGGTCAGCATATGAAACACATTCATAACCAAAAAGGAGGGCCACTCTTTCTTGCCTTCCATGAAGAAGYAAGATGCATGGATAATATTTCATATTATTTCAGTATACCTCTATGTGGAAATTACCAGCTGCACTTCTTTTCATAATCTCAGTTTTAAACAACCACTTCTATATTGGCTTTGAGGAGCAAATGCTCAGGTTACTGGGACAGAAAAAGGAAGGATTGGGTATATTACAAAACTTGGATGACCAAAATTCTAACTGCTGTGTTTTCTTGATCATTTGTCTGTCTGTGTCTTGATCATATGTCTGTAATCTATGGTTTGCTTTCCTAATTTTTTTTTTACTGATTCTATTTGTATTTTATGGACTCCTGTCTTTATAGAGAGAGACCAGTGGCTTTCATAAAATTCAGATTAGTTTATGCCATTTTTTTTGTATTTATTTGTATTTGTGTATATAAAAGGAAAGGGAATTGGAAAGGGAAATCCCTTCCTTTAGGCTCCTCTCATTTARGTGAGGAAGAAGTGCAAAACCTTAAAAAAATAGGGGGGCAGAGAAAGATATTTTCAGGGRAAAAATATGCATGTTTCAGGATTTTTTTTCTCTACTTCAATCCAGTGTATTGTGTTTTCCTCTTTAAAGCCCAGAAACATTTTCTAAAAAAACCCCTTTAGAAGCCTAAAGAAGGAATCCTAGAGCATTCAAAAGTATTAATATGTAACTGCTAGAATTTACAGAAGAATCTGAAAGCATCACATAGTGTGCTTAGACCTTTTTTTCAGAACCAACTGGGGAACTAGGGATCTCATCTTTGATTATCTAAATGACAGTGAGTTTATAGCAGACCATTTAAGTGATTTGTAAATCTGGTACCACTTTTTTTTGTATGTGAACTCAATACTCATCAGTGTGAGCTCAGTGGCTCAGCTTCATTTGCCAAAAATCTAAGAATAACTTACACTGTGATTTCCCAAGTTCTGTTTATACATTGTGGCATGCWTGGCTTATATTTTGGTTTTCTTGGATGGTTCTTTGTGATAGTCATATGGCAAAACAAACCTCTTGTATTAAGAATGAAAGCACCCAGGCAAGGTTGATGAAACAAATATATATTAATAGGTGTGTAAAACCCATAAGGTAACTGGAGTTACCAAGGTGACTTAATAGCCCTTTGTAAATATTTTACTATGACWGTGATAATGTCCTCTCTTTGGACCTATTGCCATTTCCTTGTGTTGGAGCCAAAGATTGTCACCTTGATCTGCATTACACACGTTGCCTGGCATATCCATGTTGGTTGGGTGCAAGAAAATATCATCCCCCCTTACTAGTATCACTGTGCACACAAGTCCTGGTTGCAGGTAGTTTTCTTAACAAGAAAGCTGTGATCAGCTTAGCTTAAGTAATTTGAACAAGGAGCACAACTAAGGCGGAGAAAATCCTGCTGGCATAAGCTGGGTATATACTGGTGTATCTAGTAATGTGTATTGTAAATGTAACTACAGTAGAATGTAGTTACTCTCCAATGTTAACCATTTGAGTCCACCATGGTAATATCTTCAGACCACTTGAAAATCTGAAAATCTACAAATTTTGAACACAGGTATTAGGCTGCTGTTTTCTTTCCATGGAAGTTTTGTGCTGTTCTGAAGTGGCCAATTATGGAATCATAATGAAAAATGGTATTASTTTGGGCAGAATATTGGCATAGAAGGGCTGAGATTCTGTTAGTATCTATTTATTTTTATGGAAGTATTTTTAGCTATTGGCATCATTCCCAACAGCAAATGATGAAATGGGAAGAGAACTGCCATGACCCATACACTTCTGTTTCTTGGAAACAAATTCGTGGAAACAAATCCAAACAAATTCTGTCATCTCAGTTAAAACAACAACAACAAAAAAAATGCATGGCAAAGTTGTCTAATTTTAGGTTTATTTTAAGTAGCAAAMTGGGTATATATGCTTTCAACATACAGTGGAAATATTGATGCCATTACTGGTATTTTATGCARGATTACTGTCCCTGGATGCTTTCTGCAAATCTGATTTGTGTTTTCTGCCATGTCTTATGCTGGAGAATCATATGGAGAAATATAAAGGAGTAAGTTTTTTTTATGGAAATACAATCCTATTTCAAGAACATTTGAACTAAATAATAATGTATTCCAAGCAAAATAGAATTAGAGTTTTTAAAAGCCAGGACAGATTATGATAATTCAAAAGAATATTTTAAATGTAGCTATTTTTACTTCTGTAGAACCCGTATTTTTGTCTAAGTGTTTTTTGTGCACTGAAGTTTGATGTGTGGTTTCTCACTTACTTTGCCCTTCTGGGCCTTGATCCAAACACTACAAGTTTATATCRAAGCATGGTTAGTTTGCTTATAGAGATAAGCACGTATTTTCCTGCATCAGTTCAGTGATAATAAGTATAAGTAATAATAGTAAGTATAGCTGGTAATGCTCATATAATGAAATAAATTTATTTATAGCTACTACTGTGCTTGAATACAAATGGCGTTAAAAGTTCCATGGTATGGTATGTTGTACAGTTGTTGTACCTCACTAATCTTCTAGTCAATTGATCCTGAATCAAACTGTTTTATTTAAGTGTTTAAACACTTTTTTTATTGCATTTGCTTCATGTTTTGAATATTTATTTTACAGGCAGTGGGTTATTCAAGCTCCATCCATCCATTTTTTTAGACTATTAATTTGCCTGAGATTATTAGCAAGGTATCCATGCTATAAGGTCAGTATGTCAAAATACTGTTTTTTGCTTGGATAAGGGGAATGCATGTAAGTGTCATGCATGAGTTGTGTTGGTGCTTGTGTGCAAAAGTATTTGTTCTTATGGATGCAAACTTAGGTGTATGTATTTGTATTTCTGTATGTGAAGATTAAACGATTTGCAATTAATATTTAATTAATTTTAACAATAYATTAATATTTTAATATTTAATTAATGTTTAGTTGCAAATAAATGATTCCAAWAGTGATTTTGCACCATTATTGCATAACTTGCTCAAATTCTGGTATTTCTTATGTCACATCTGTTGTCATGTCTGACCATAACAAAAACTGTGAATCTGCATAACACATGGCTTGGTCATTGCTCTGAGCTCTAGCCTTGGTATTTGACTTTTTCATACAGATATGTAAAATTCCAGTAATGTAGCAAGTAAAGTAAACTGAAGGCTCCAGTTTGAGAACCTTTAAAATTTGACCTCTTATATTTTTATTTATCTACTCATTTTAAGTAATTCTGACTTTTTAAATTTTCCTGTAGGAAATGCTGAATATCCTGGGTGGAATGGAAAATCTAGCTCAGGTAGAATTCATCATAGTACTTTTGCCCATTATGTTGCTTGTCAGTTTATGGTGATTTGAATGAAATATACTTCAAATAGAGTGTACAATTATTCTAGGGTTTTGGAAGTAAGTGAATCTGTTCCTCTGTTTGCACATGAGCAGTTGGTGTGGGTTTTTTCACTAGTTTTCAAAACAACTGTCCTATAATCTAGCTGCTTTAATCCAGGACTTCTAGTTAGGAGACTTAAACCCCTCCTGAAGTGGGAGGAGAATTAGAAAAGCCAGCTCAGTTGATTCAATCAAAAGAAACTGTAGACTTTTCAAGGGAGATGAGTGAGGTCACCCTGAACTGTAGCAAGTGGCTTGCAAAGGAAAGGCATTCTGATAAAATGTTGAAACAGTTTACATTTGGGGGCTACAGTACYATTGCATTACAGAATATGTTTTTCATGAAACAGATGCACCACCTAGAGGCCATTTCTGTGCTTGACAGTCTAGGTTTCTGAAGTCTCCAAACTTCTTTTTTTTTTCTAATGGTATCCTTCATGTTTCCTCCCCTACTTATAATACATGAAAACAGTAGCAAATGGCTATCTTAATTATGGAGAAGCGCAGCATGACGTAGACATGTTGGTCAACATAACATGTAAGTGCAATAGCTGATAACAGAAATTATAAGGCTGCTCTACAACTTTTTGTATGAGGCTTAAAATGTTTAATATACCTGAGGTGGTCACTGAGTAAAATATTACTAGATTCATTGTAGGCATCATCACACAAGTAAAAGCTGAAATTCCTGTGGGAAAGAACATCTTGTTTCTCTGCATAAGTAATATTTCTTTAAGAAATTAATATCTTTTTATGCATTGAAATAAAAGAGTAAAATGAGTTAGTCAAGATTCAAAGAATTTATACAGTGTTTTGCTCTGTTATCTGACTTGTAAAATGAAAATATTAGTGRGAAAGAGTCAATTTATGTGACTTCCCTTTTTCCATAGACATTTTTCAAAARCTTGCTGCTGTTAAAAATCAAAGATTATAGCAAGTGGAGCACATAGACAAAGTGCTTTATGAAATTGCTAATTTTGTGCAATTAGCTACTTAATGGAATGATGTATGCTTTTCAGATTTGACCTAGGTGGGAATAAACTCCTTACCTTGTCAGACTTGTAAGATAATCGCTGTGTTAGTAGTGTCGTAAAAATAATTTCTTTTATCTAAGTTAATTGATCTGATGCATAGTTATTTGTTGTCTGAGATAAATAAATTTTCCCTCTAAAAGGTGAGATTTTGTTTGTGGATTAATTGTGTTAAAATAAATTTTGAMTTTTTCGTTTAGGGATGTGTGGATTTAGAGGAATTAGAAAATGTGCYATTTTAATATCTCTAATATCAGAACAAGGTCAATTTGTGATACCTGTGTATTTTCACTCACATACTGATATAACAAAATCTTTTCCAGCAGTTTCATTGTAATCCATCTCCTCTCTCTCTCCACTGCTGGCCGCCAAATGAAGGCAAATGAATTGCAGGGTTACCATAAAGTGAAAACAATCTTGGTTCATCTCTTCTTTGCTCCTGGCAGACCTGAGTGGTTAGATGGAAAGCATGCYGAGCCCTGACAGTTCCTGGGATGCCCAATATAAACGAGCAAAAGTGAAAGACCTGGAGCTGCTGTAGYTCATGCCAGAGGCTGAGTCAGATCCCACATCCTGTTAATCAGAAAATCATCAACATTCCTTCAATGTTTAAAYATCTCAGCTAAGACTGCTAGCAAAGCATCACTGCATTTCACTGAGAAGCTGAAAGACTTTCAAATTTTATACTACATCATTTATCACATTTAAAATTCTGAAGAGGTTTTTAAAATTTCATGCTTAATTACTTCACACATATAAATGACCTTATATATGACTAAGGATAGAGAACTTTAATATGTGGAAAGGTTTTTTTTGGTTTTTGTGTTCAAAAATTATTTCAGTTATATGTAAATCAGAAGTTAGATGTAAGSTAGAATTTGAATGTAGACAGGAAGATGATGAAGTTCAATACTAGTTAAGGATAATTTTAAATTCAGATATGAATCTGAATTCAGGTTTCGTTAAACACATATGGATCTATTTTGCTTCAAGTGGAAGTGGACATCCTTAATTTTCTGTGGGAAATCTACCTCAATTGAAGTTAAGGAAGTCTTGTATAAACATTTTGAGGGATMTATCCAGTCACTTTCTAAACATGAAATTCAAACCATGCTAGAGAAGAATCATGCATTTTTGTGTTATCTGTGGGACTAGGCTATTCAGGTTCCACAGGTGGACTTTACAAATTCATGCAGTCAGTACCACTGTAGTACTAAAGCCATGAACAAGAAGATGGTACCATGGGTGACTGCAGCCCACGTGGCCACCTTCCATCCTGGCTGGGAATGCCTYGCTGCCTCTGCTGACAGTTGAACTCACTGTAAATGTAATTTCATCCCTTGTGAAAATTTGGACCATTGTCTTTTTCTATTCTTTTGGACAGTGACTTTAACCAGGTTGCAGTGACTTTAAATTGTTTTCTTTAACTTTTTATTTTTTTTAATAGGAAGTCTCTGTTCTTTTTTAACTTTTGCTGGTTTTTGTTTCCCTTTGCTAACTGACAATGCAAAGTAATGATGGAGGTATTGTTAAAATTTCTTTCTGATTTTTTTTTATAGCTGAGCAGCTGTGACTCCTTTATGCAGTCACCAGTCAAAGAACAAATAAAAAATGCATGAAGATGTTCCAGTCTTGCTCAGTTTCCTCCTGATTCTGRACACATCAAACTTCTATGGAGTATAGTTTGGATTATAGTTTGTGAAGATAGTGAGATAAGTGTGGAAATTTGGAGATGGGGTGGAATCAAGCAGTTCCTTCATATATTACAAGGGTAGGTTTTCAGTCCTCAACATTGTGGCAATTGTACAAAACTGTTTGATATTTTAAGATATATTTGACCAAGCTCTGTTTTATCAAATAGCATCTTTGGCCTGTTCAGTTGTATGTGATAACTACGGAATTTAAAATGCTACTTAGAACATAATAAATGAACAATATTTTTCCCAGCTTTTCAAATTTTGTTGTTATTCTAGGGTGGTTTTTTCATATTTTTGGTGTATAAATTAAACAATTAATAAGTTATAACTATGTCATTACTGTCTGCTTAGTATTCCTCTTAATCAGACACTTATTTAGTGACATAGAATTGTGAATATAACTGATGAACTTGGTAAAGAAATTTTCTGTTTCRAAGCTTGTTTGCTTTTTCAAAGTGTATTAGCTAATGTAGTGAAAAACCAATTTTCAGTATTTCAGAAATGGTTGACAAAGTCTTACAGATCAAGTGGGAGCTTCAGATAAGCCCTGTCCTAGTCTCAGATTTTTGGCAGCAGTTTAAATTTAGGAGGCCTGCACCTGAACCACTCTGACTCACAAATTCTAAGGATGGTAGCTCAGGTCTATTATAAAATGAATTATTTTTTTGAATTTACAGGAGATTAACAGRCAAGAGGCCTTAAACAGAGTTACTTACTACACAATATAAAATAAAAGAACTACTAKATTACATAAAACARTGCRTAGTATCAMGTTATCTATATTRAAGCTAGCAAAGAAATAKTATMRATTAGGAGTCAATGTAACTTACCACTGAACTGATGATAGTGCACWGAGTCCTTTCCTCAACTCTYGAGAGAGTAACCACAAAAGCTGGTGTCCCAGCTCTGGGGAGAAAACCCCACACTTCCAGCAAAYRTGCAGAAGATTTCTSCTTTGTGAAAGTTTGGTGTAGCTCTTATTGTTTGTAAAGTGAAGTGTCAGTCATTGAGAAATTCCAGCTTATCTTTCCACATCTCAGTCCCAGGGAGTCATGTTTACTGTCAACTGAAAGCATCAATGCCTCTGTGCCAAAATAACCCACTACAAGACAAGCCRACCTAATTGGGTTATTTCACCAATTAGCAAGCTCATGTGGAACTCTTGTGAGGGGAGAGATGCCTTGAGTTATTTCATCAACTAACAAGCTAAACTTAACAGATAAACTCTTGTGGTGAGGGAGATGCTGTACTACACAAAGATGTATTAAGCTTAAAGCAACTTGACTTTTTTTTTTTTTTGTTTTTTCTTCCAGGGAAAGAACTCTTGTATCTGCTCACTCTTCAGTTGGATGTTTGTCTAGTGCAAATGCAGCAGAGAGAATCCAGTATCTTCACTTGTCAGATGATCTGAATCGTGATGAGATGCAAGAAAATACTTTTTCTCTTCAAGCAGGTAGGTTTATAAGGTCTAATCMTCTGTTTACATACGTTTGTGCCAAAGGATTAAAAATAATTTGAAATTTTAGATTTTATACTTGCTTTATGGAGTAGGAGCACCAAATCAGATTTATTTCCAAATGTGTGATACCACACAGTCTTTTCAAAAGGTATGTTTTTGTTAGAAAGGAGAAAACCATGAAGTATTAAGTATTTGAGAATCATATGTGTTTCTTAACCTGTAAAAACAGTCACAAAAGAAGTTAATTATTTATTAATGGTTGGTTACAAGTTTTTGAAGAATCTGGACTAATTTACTGTCTTTTGAGTTCTCCAAARGCCTTAATCTTCTGCATTTTTACTTATATCAGAACTTTAAAAAGAAACAAAACTTTAGTCAAGCATCTAACTAATCAATTGCTGCCTGTTATCTTCTGGCTTTTGCTTTTCTCAGTCCTTTTGCATCTTTTAGACTAAGATTCTTGGACAAAAATTCTAAGATGGATATCATAATTCTTTAAATGCAGACAAATGTTAACCCTATCACTTAGTGCATTACAAGAAGACACWCAAATACAGTGATAACAAGCATAAAAGAAAGTACTGTAAGGAAAAAAAAAGTAAAATTAATGGAAATTCAGGAGATGCATTGACTTTGAAGGCTTATACTTGTTTTGAGAATTGGCATTTATATTAATACCCAGCCAATGAGGCTGAGGTCTGTCTTTTTTAAAAGGTCCTTTAACTACTATGCATGTGGTGTTAGAGGGTTAATACCTCAATAGATTAGTCAAAAATAAGTGTGCTTTTTAGGAGGTTCTGAAGTAAGTWGTAATAATAAACACTGAAAATCCTCTGCTGTAGTTTAATAGCCATTGTGTTAATTGTTTCTAAAAGATATAAAAAATTGGAACTTTTTTAGAGTTTTCCCTATTGACTTATTTGAAATCTTCACTGATATTGGACATTATGTGCGTGATATCAGAGCTTGTGAAGGGTTGGAATTAAAGCTAATTTCATTAAAAGTAAGTAATCTTAAACCTTCATAGGTTTAAGAAGTCATATTCTTGCACATTCATAGCACAAGAAAGGCATAAAATATTTAGCAACTATTGTTTCATAGTAAATATTTTTTCCTGATGATATACTTACKTAAATTCATTCATTATTAAATTGTATGTGCTAAACACCCTCTGCTTCTTAGTACTGATGCAGTTTTGAAAGAATGTGATTTAATGCTGCATTTGTACTTGAGTAATGAAAAGAAATATTCAGAATATTATTTTAAAGTATCATACAATTGTATTTTATATCAACATACTGCCACTGAGGGGCACTCTTGTCTCAGTAACTTTTCCGTATCTTTGATCCATTCTAAATACAGAGAAACGCAACTCAAAATTACCCTTGAAAAGCATCTATACTTCTGTCAAAGATTTACAGGAGTTCAGGAAAACTGGAAGAACAGAAACTTATTTGGACCATTTCTACAGCAATTATTTCAAAACTATGGCAGTATTTAAACAAACACTCACTTTATTTAGTCCTATAACTAGTATGAGTGTAGTACCCATTGAATTTTTGGGGAGAGCTGAAGACTTCTTATCTGTTGTTTCTGAAATTTATTGAGCTTGTTCCCAGCTCAGACTAATTTACTTTTTTTTGATGATAGTTAATATGTACTGTATGGATGCATGCTATGATATTGTTCCTATGCATACCATCCATGTATGCCAAAGACTGGTGCATTTGTGAACTTGATTTTATTTCACAATGTTTGAGGATGAATGTGGTGTCCATTCAGTACAYTGCAAATTTGAAAGTTTGTGCTGATTTCAGTTGGGATAGAATTAATTTTCTTTYTAGTAGGTTGTACAGTGCTCTGTTTTGAATTTAGTGTGAYAATAATGTTGATTACATACTGAGGTTTTAGYTATTGTTGAGTAGAGAATGCTCTAAATCAAGGACTTTCCAGTTTTCCATGCTCTACCAGTAAAGAGCTGCACAACAATCTGAGGGTGGAGAGTGCATCCAGAACAGCTGTCCTGAACTAGCCAAAGGGATGTTTTATACCATGTAACACCAACCCCAGTAYATAAACTGGGGCAAGTTGGCCAGGAGTTGCCAGTGGCTTCTTGACTGGGCACCTTTCAGCAGGTGGTAAGCAACTGCAGTGAGCAACATTTGTTTTAATTACAATTTCTATTAATATGATAATAACTTCCAATACTATAATATTCCAATATTATAGTATTTTATTTTGTTTCAGTCATCTAACTGTTCATATATTGACYCATRAGTTTYRGTTTTTTTCTAATTCTCCTCCCCAGCTGGGAAGGTGAGAAAYTGAATATGTGGTGCTTAGYTGCTGGCTGGGGTTAAMCCATGAAAAAGTYGCTACAAAKTTTCRGAYRAATGTGAAGCATATGCTAAAATRTTRAGAWATCTCTGCATTGAATTTATYCTGTCAGCTTYTATAAAAAGAGAAGGTCTACTCTAAGATCTACTAAAAACTATAGTTCTGCATTTACAAGTTGCACACTCATCCTAAATAGGGAGAGAGTTAAAATTTTCTAGAGTCTTTCAAATATGGAAACGGACCCAATCTTGCCTTGATCTAACTAGAGTAATGATCCAATGGGCTACCTGTGAAGCAGTGTTGTGTGATTATGTAATTGGGATATGGCCAAAATTATTTTGCTTTGTAGAAGAATCTTGCAATACTGCTCTTTTTTTCTCTTTTTCCCAAGCAGTCCTTTTGGAATTAGTAACTCTTGGTAATCTCTTGCTATRAGAAGCTCCAGGCTGACAGTGTAACAAAAGCAGCTCATTCATCTGTAACTAATGTTCTTAAAAAATATTGTGTTTAGAGAGGTGCCTTAGTTTTAGACTCTCATGGCATATTTAGATTAAAAAAAATTAGTGAACAATACTCTGGAGAAAGGGCTTCTAGAGACAAAGACTTTAATTCTGCAGCTGCCACAGCAATGAACTTCTTCAAGAAAATTTTTGGACCCAAGAAAGGCATTTCAYACCACATAAATAAGAATGGGACCACTCACATTCTGAATCCTTTGAAGATCTCTTATACAGATTCTGCATTTATGGTGATTGAAAAGCAAAGCAGTGCATAGTGTGGGAAACACTCTCACCTTGCTATCAGAGTAGTAAACAATAAACCTGTTGAAGAATTGTGCATGTTTGTCCTGAATTCATGAAGAAATGTTCTACAAGTGGCCCTTGTAGAGCAATTCCAGAAGAACCTGATAGGCAGGGACCTATGGTGGAAGAAAACAAGAATTCATGAAGAGAAATCTGCTCCTGGCCTGGCACTGTGCAAGATTGAGTTAAGAGTGACCTCTTGTAGGGATGGTCTCTATAGGTTTTACTGAAAAAGGATTACCTGAGGTAATGCCTCACACTGGTGAGACCCTACCTGAAGTACTGTGTACTTCATACCTGAAGYGCTCTTGGGTCCTCAGCRCAAAGACATGGACCTGTTGGAGTAAGTCCAGAGGAGGGCTATGAAGAGGATTAGAGGAGGGGAGAATCTGTCCTACAAGGAAAGGCTGAGAAAGTTGGGATTGTTCAGCCTGGAGAAGAAAACGTTCTGGGGACACTTCAGAGCACCTTTCTGTACCTAAAGAGGACTGTAAGAGAGCTGCAGAGGGACTTTTTACAAGACCGTGTAGTGCAGGACAAGGGGGAATAGCTTCAAATTGAGAGAGAGTTGACATATTTAGATATAAGGAAGAAATTCTTTACTGTGAGGGTGGTGAGGAACTGGAAGTGGTTGTCCAGAGAAGTTTTGCATGTCTCATTCCTGGAAGTATTCAAGATCAAGTTAGACAGGTCTCTGAACAACTGGGTATAGTGGAATGTGTCCCTCCCCTGGGGGTTTGGAAYTTGATCATCTTAAGGTTCCTTCCAACCCAAACCATTTCGTGATAAAAACATGAAGATTTTTTGAATATTCATAGTCAGAATGTGTTTTTCTTAAGTAATGTGTGTGGTTAAATATCTTCTTTATTCAGATCTTTGTTTATTGTTTTGTTTTTAAACTTATGCAAGGCACAAATGAAAGCCCTAAGCCCAGGAGGTGCTTCATTCTAATGTGAAGGTTGTATAACTTGTTTTGTATTTCCAAGGACATCTTTTACACATGTCAATTAAATTTGAAGTTGAATTAAATTTTTAGGTTGTGTGTTGTTGCAAATGTAAACAGATATTTACAATTTGATCTTAGCTAGGCTGTTTCTGACTTTCAGTATGTTGTTGTTTTGTAGTCTCTAGATCTGCCCWCCCTACTCATTTTCTGTTTAATTTCTGACATAAATTTCATCAGAAGGGGTACATAACTACCATCTCTTATGCTAGTACAGCATTTAATTGTAATTTATTGAGCTACAAATGCTATGAAAATATAAATAGCAAATCATGTCAACMTGCAATTTTGTAAAACATCTCATTCTAAATTGATAGAAAAGTGTTATTGAAACTATACATCTCTGGTCAGATTGAATGTCTGATTTATTCTTTCAGACATACACAAAAAAGGGTGGATTTTTAGGTGCAGCCTCCATGAAAGTTGTTTCATTACAGGGTTTTAGAAATTCATTGAACCAGCATTATCTGTGGCTTTCCTTTTAATCTGCCCAGCCATTTTATATGASGCATTGAGAAGTTACAGTTCTAAATGGAAAATGTGTATCTGSTTTTATTGCAGCTATATTTTACTGCAGCTGTATTTTGTTTCTAGCACAGTGTATTTCTGTCTAGAGCTCCTTAGCTGCATCTGTTTSTAGGACAAAACAGAAGACTTTTCCCAGATCATCACTTTTCCTCAGTTTCATTTAGCTGCAGTGAGGTTTAGACCTTGATGCTCAGAGGGTTGTGTGGAATCACTTGGACACCTTTCAGAACTGATATCAAGGAGAATTGTGAAGGGTACCATACTCTCTTTTGGGTGGCATGTTCTGTTTGATGTTTAATAGACATGATAAAATAGCAGCTGAAAGGATATGTATGGGCCTGAACCTAAGATTATACAGCAGCAGAACGCTAGTTTTGAGGCAACCCACCTGTTGGAAATACTTCTTATCATAGCAGGCAGCCATGGAGTGTCAGAATGGCAAATTGAATGAGACTTGGACAGTTCAAAGAGTTGCTGGGTGTTGAAGAAAGCTATCTGTTAATTTTGTAATTCAGAATATTTGCTTGTTGAATGTATTATTTAAAAGACCTATCAGCTCTGGATTCTATTCCATGCCCAGAGAAGCCGTGGCCATGGCATAAAGTGAATATTAACAGTGCCTATTGTATATTAGTCACTATTTGGATTCTTAGCAGATTATATGGCTCATTTAACTAATATTAATTATCAGAATTACTACCCTTCACATTGAGATTCAAGAAAATCCTGTGGTAGTACTTTATTTTTAAAGTTATTTTCATAATAGTCTGAATGGAATCTTCTATTTGTTTATGTTCCCACTGTAAATCAAACATKCTGGAAATTATTGGAGAATTAATGGCATGATCACATCTCTCTTTGAAAATCTCAGTTCTAGATGTGCTTAGTTCCTAGTGCAGAAGTTACAAACTTCACAAAACTGACAGTAGATTGTTTACAAAGTATTAATAACAGTACACAGAAAGGAGAATTATAGAAGAGGCTAAAAGGTTTACTTGGGAATGGGGAAAATTAATTCTGTTCCCATTCTATTGATGTGAAATGGTAAAGTATGTACTATTGCTGATTAAATTGCAAATGATCTTGATTTTAGCATATGCTTTTATGGAAAATAAAATTAAAGTTTAATTTTATATTCCAAATCACTATCACTCAGTTGCAAACAAAGCTTGGTTACAATTGCACACTTGCTGAAGAGAGCAAAGGGTTTTTCTCTCATCCTAAATCCTTCAAGGTAGAAGAAGAACCTGTTCAGTGGGTACACAGTGAAAATTTGRTATTAGCAGGTCCCAAGTTCGTATATAGGGTGAATTTGATATTCTGTTAATATTC